AGCATGCGCATACGAATATAGGCGTTCTAGCAAAGCAAATCCAGGTTTCGAACTAATAGTCGCATGTTCTAGCGAAGACGAAATCCAGTTTGCAAACCGTATGAGAACTGTCGAAGTAGTCCAGAGGAATTCGTAAGGATTTTCAGTTTGTGACATGCGCAAATATTCGGAGTGATCGAGTGATCCGATATCACGTTTGTTATGATTTTGGAATATGGATTTGTTGGTTATGTTATGTACTAAAGAAATGAGAAACCAAAATAGAAATATTTAGTGGCCTGATAATTGGTTTAAAAATCTTGTTTTTTATAGAACGGCAATCCTCAAAACTGTCAATTTTTTCATATTTGCGTTTGGAAATTCAGGTGAGTAAAATGATTTTNAAAAAGTTACATTGGAAATAAATTTTAGGGGTTGCGTTTTCCACTCCTTACAACCATGGGGTAAACCAAATAAATTTCTGGCTAAGTGTATTTTTGGTAGTACAAAACGTCAGGTTAATTTCAATATTGTAACTTTTTTAGTGCTTGTGAAAAAAATTGTTATACAAATTTTATGTGCCTCCTTTAAGGGGATGTATCTTAACAAGGGATTTTCCAATGAAATTTCTTCATATGAAAGATCCTATCTTTTTTTCGATGAGGAATCATCTCCTTAAATGTTTTACACTTATTTAGTTACACCCTGTAGTGGTTTGCGGCTTTCTCCATGATTTTTTATATTACTGATAGCAAAGCAACTGGGTTTATAGTTATTTTTTCGTGCCTTTTTTCGAAATAGGCTGAACCCGACCAATCTTCCAACAAGAAGAAAAGAACCCTTTCTCATAGGACAGGTTGAAGAGTCTCCGTCTGGACCAAATGCCTTGTTAATGTCGAGGTGTTTCAAAACTCGCCTGACTAGACATCGAAAAATAATTTCCGGCATTGTGGATTCTAGTGTGGTAATAGTGAGTGGTGCCTTCCACAAAATCAATAATTATTGATGAAAAACTATTTTTAAATGAGACACCTTGTATATTCCTGCATATTTCAATTGAGCTTAAAATTACCCCTCCAAAAATGTGTCACACTTGATGTTTTGCTAGTGTTATCTTTGAAATACAGAGCTTTTAGGTTTTTTCATGTAGACTTTGGGAGTAATTTACAGTCCTGCTTGAGTNCTGCATGATACAATAGAGCTCAAAATTACCCTTCCAAAAATATTGCACACTTGATGTTTTGCTAGTGTTATCTTAGGTTTTTTCATGTAGACTTTGGGAATAATTTACAGTCCTGCTTGAGTAAGATATTGTATAGCGAATCACTTGTCGCGATTTTAAAAACCTATCATAGTGAATATCACAATAAACCATTTCAGTAAAAAAGCATTTGTTAGTGAATTGGGTATTTTCGCTGCCATTTTAAAGGTCGCGTATATTAAAAAAAAATCGAATATAAAACATATCCGTAGCTACTCTTCCAGAAAATCTAATGAACACCCAAAATTGATTGCATTGCCGCTCTTGCGTGAAACCTTACTAATTATTTTCATCCGCTGTTTTCGATTCACCCCAGATTTCCAACCCCTGCGTTTGTTAATTGCTTCCCGCTTTCGTCATTCCACTTATACTTGTTGCTCTGAAAAAGCTTACGGATGGTTTCTCTACGTTCGCAGCTGAATGTTAATGATAAAGGACGTCATAACTTTGTTGTCCAACTCGACTCCCGAGTTACTGTGTGCGCTTCTCCATTGAAGTTACACATCTTTCGCATCTTGTTTGATTTTGTTCAAAGGACAATCACAACACAAGTAAAAGATCCGCAATAGCACATGGCAACCGAGTACCTTCTTTGTGGACGGACATTATCGGTACGTCCGTCCACTACCACGGAAATCTCAACAAACCTTGTGAACCAGGTATAATGAGTAATTTGATCGATTTTTTATCAGAGCCAGAGTACATTTAAGAGTAATAATTGAGAACTGTTTGGCATGCTTAGTTTGTTGGTGAGATGCTGCTGTCGAAAAAATTGGATCAAAGAATTTACATCAAATTTTGTGTAAAAAATGGAATTGTTGAGTGAGGAAAATTGTTATGTAGATTCGTCGAATCACTATTAAAGTACTTGCTGAGGATGTCGTCATATCGTTTGGCACGTGCCATGCTGGCACAAGTGTTTTATATCTGAGGGGGACTACTTCGAAGGGGACAAAAAAGAATAAATATTTTTTGAGAAAAATTAAAAATCACCTTATATTTTGATCAGACCTCGTATGTTCTCACTAAGAATTGACACACCTGGTAGGTGGGAGCCCTTTGAGTTATTTAATAGAAATACGTTATTTTATTGTTTCTGTTGAATTAAAACTCTGTAATTTTCCCCTGGCAGTGCTCTATATTCTCTACAATATAGGGTAAAAGGTCGTGGGTCACTGGCAGTTCATCGGTTCGTTGCTAGGTAACTTATTAGGAAATCCTTCGCATTACTCTGCCTACCTGTTTCTGGCAGATGGAATAGGAAATACAGTTTCGAGAAGTCTCAGATTGGCTCGCATCGTAGCGAAATATTACTTTTGACAGTAAAATAAAAGAATATCAGACATATATAGTTTCACCAGAGACGTGGTTTTTGTCTGGAGTTTGTATATGATTATACGGGCCGTTTTTTCAAAAGCTGATACTACTATTGCCATCTTGGAAACTGCAAGACCTCGGTTAAATTGAAGAAAAGTTTCCTATTTTGGGGAACTAGAATGATCTATCTTCAGATTGAGAACATCAGTGATTGTTTTTGAAATGTACGTTAAAAATTAAAATTGTCGGATTTTTTTTTGGCTCTACCGCCTCCATTTCGAATGATACAAAAAAAGAGAAAACCTTTCAATACTGTTATAGTATTATAGGTTTCCAGATGTTGTGTATTTCTACGCAACATTTAGCTTGGCTAAATGCATCGTTGGACAATATATATTCCGCTTCTTTGAACTTCCTCTTTAATCAGTATTCTTCCTTGTGAATGACCTCAGCTTGGGACTACTTGATGTTATGTTGATGAGTCCAAACATGCTCTGCTATTTGCTCGGCAATGCCGACATTCAGTGGTCTCTTTGTTTCACCGATAATGTATTTGCCGCACTCACAGGGTATCTGGTAGATGCAATTCTTGGAATCGCAGTCCGCGTTTGGTGGTCTTGTTTTCGTGAGGCTGCTACGGATGGTGTTTCCGTATCTGAAGTAGGTTCTGATGTTGTACTTGGACCCAATTCTTCCTAATCTCTCCGGCAATCCTCTGACGTAGGGAACTACAAGCACTTCCTTGCGAGGTCTTCTAGCCAAAGTCTATTCCACCGTCACATGGAGTAACAATTCTGCTGATGATCTTTTTGATGATGCCTAGTTTCTTATCGAGACCTTCAATCGTATTAGAGAGCCCGAAAGTGCGATGCACTAGAGTCTTGAAGATTCCTATTCTGGTAGATTGATGGTGGTGGGATTCGTGATTCAGAAACTGTCTCGTGTGAGTAGGTTTTCGGTATACAGATGTTTTCCACTGAGTGTCGATCCTCCCCACCAATACATCTAAGAATGGCTGTTCGTTGTGGAGTTCCTTCTCCATTGTGAAGGTGAAGGAAGGTCTTACGCTTTTGATGTGCTTCAGAAAGGTGTCTAGTCCTGTATTTCCATGGTTCCATATTATGAAGGTGTCGTCAACGTATCACAAACAGACTCTGGGCTTCTTGTGAGCTTCTTCAATGACCAGAGTTTCAAGCCACTACATATATATGTTGGCTCTAACTGGTGAAAGTGGCTATCCCATTGGCAGTCCCTCATCTTTCGTAAAGAATTCGTCCTTCAGTTAGAAGAAGCAGTTCCGTACACAAGTACCCTAGTAATTCCATGGTTACTCTATATACCTATTTCAGTATTTCTTGACTTTCCTCTTCCTTTGTTTATATAATTCGAAATGGAGGCGCTAGAGCCAATAAACGAAATTCGACAATTCTAGTTTTGGTCGAATATTTGAAAAACAACCACTGTTGTTCTCGATCTGAATAGATATAATTATTCTAGTGCCTCAAAATAGGTAACCGATGTCCAATTCAACCTACTTTGTAGGTTTTTCTGTTTCTGAGATAGCATTAGTGGGACCAGCAAACACATACCTGTAGGTATATTGAAAAGGGGTACAAATGAAACTGGCGTATACCTGTCCAATCTCAGGTCTCGAAGAAAAATTCAGACGGAGCTTGATTGATGATCCCGTCATAAATTTGATGCCGGGACTAACTATCCTAGAACTTACTGCACCTCTCATTGAAGTTTGATATATTCGACGAGTTTGATGAGAGGTAAGAATGAATGAATGTACCAAGCTTATGTTTCTAATAAAATTCGACTCTTTCGTGATCCTGAGATTATTTCAGCATTGTTTGTGTTTACACTGTGAACGATACAAACACTCTTGTTGTTAAGGACAATATTGAGATACACATTACAAAGAAGTAAATAAACAACTAACTAGAGTAGCAAACAGCCACAAGTGAACATTTGACAGTTTATCATTTCCGAAATAAAACAGAAGCACAACGTTGTCTGACTTCTGTGATTTGTATTAAAGAAAATGATAAATGGACAACACTGACAGATGATGTTCTTTTCGAATTCCTTTTGGCATTTGAAATGGAATTGTAAAATCTGAAAACTACTGCCGAGTTTTGTGAAGAAATGACACTCTGCTCAGTAGTTACTAACAAATCTCTCCTGCTTTGTTCAAACTTATCTTAATCCGTCAGGGTTTGTCTTCAAAATTCCTCCGTCTGCAGACACTGCTCTGCATATGTCCCGCTGCAACTATTTTTAATATTTCAGAACAGTCTCTTGGCGTCTGTTTAGATGCACATGCACATTTTTATTAGTATGTGGTTTACACTTCATATTATTCGTTATCCCAACAGGAAGCAACTTCCTTTATATAGACTTTTATCCAACAAGTTCGACTTTAGTCGTGAATCGGATTCTGCTACATTGATACGTTAGTACTAGTACACTTTAAAATCGTGCGAAATTTACATCTACCACAATTGATCTTGTGTTGTGCTAACTCACCCCCTTTTTACGAATAGTGATTCATTTATTTTCGAAACTCGATGGGATCGGTGTGTGCTAATCGGAAATTCTGAAAGGTTTTTATTTTTACAAGAAGAATTGCGTTATTGTTCTGTTTTCGTAATGACTCGTGTTGTGCTTTGTACACGCTGTTTGTTCCACTGAGATTAAATTGTTTGCCGTACGTGTTTGGATAATGTGAATGCTAATATGCACAGAGAAAATTGGTGTTGGGCAAAGAAAATAAAGAGGAAGATGAAAGTTGGATTATACGGTATATTACGCAACATTTCCTGAACTAGTTTCCCGCAGGTTTTAATATTGTTAACGATGAAGTCTTCTTTTTTACAAATGAGTGAAACTTTGGGCTTAAAAAAAGACCCTGTATGCCATATCATCATGAAAAACGTATTGAATGTGAGCCAGATTCTAGCCTGTCTGTATAATGTCACTAGAAACCTAACAAACGCTTCATTTTCTTAGGAATAACACTTGCTATCAGTATAATTTCAAATGTGAATCAGTACTTTCAAGTTATATTCAAACAATTAGGAAATTGACACATATAAAAAAAAAGATTCAAAAAAGAAAGAAATAGTTATTTGGAAATGCTTCAAGTAATGTAAGTAAGTAGAGCTTATTTACCAGCAGAAATTTCGGCAAATCCTTGACAGTCATACAGCGTAACTCATTACAATAACAAAATTTTGAAAATAAACCTTTGGAAGGTTCTTTTGTTATTTAGTTTCTACCTGCTTTCATAATAGTTTTGTCCATAGGAAATACCTGTTCACCTTCATACTTTTACTATTTCAACTAAATCAGTTGAACTTCATCTATTCCTTCATCTATTCAAGTTCCTGTCTAGACATTTCGTAAAATAACTACATATTGGAATGATTTTTCACACGTATTCGAAAAAGAGTAGAAAGTAGAAGAGTAGAAAACATTCAAACATCCACAATGAAACATATCATTTTGAATTTTTCTGGACTAATTTCTATTCAATAAATGCTCCAATCGGATGCTATTTCAACACCCCCAAGAGTGGGTATAATTTACCTATATTACATAAAATCATGGTATGTTTCATTAAAAGAATATTTTTCTTATCAATTGAAGTTTATTTTTGGGTTTCCGTCCTCTTTAGATAATTATAGAACACGACCTATATTATTTATCACAATTAGTGGAAGCTAATTGTATTTTTTATCAAAACGGTACAGTGTGTTGTAAACTAAACCTTCATTTTCAAATAGCTGTTCTTTCTTTTGTTCATTATTATTTACTTTGTGATTGAGTTGAAATGCCAATACTTTCATTGCCATCGTACATTTCGCATTATTTCTTTATCATTGCTGTTTTCAAGATAAATATAGTGTTTTGAACTTATTATCAAGAGAAGGACAGAGTTATATGTTTTCAATTGCAACTCATATGGATTTTGAGAATATTTTAGTCAGCCCAGCCCCTACATAAAATTCAGAAATATAAAAAAACTAGTCAAACATATTTTCGAAAGTGCACCTGGAAACTACGCTGAATATTTTGAATAAAAAGAAGGGTTGTGCGACGTTTAAAAATCGTTCAATTACTACTACACACATACTTGATCTTTAATTTCAGTTCAAACAAGTTTTTAGGAAAATATATAGATATTGCTATGGTAGTCGTTGTGGCCATTAAATGGCTCCTCTTCTATTGATTCATCTGTGGTGAAGCTCTGTCTTGGAAAATTTTCCAAATTAGTTATCATTGAAGGATCTCTCACTTCATCAAACAGATTTAAGCAGATCTCTCAAGATGAATTTTTCTGTATTTTCAAAAAGTTGCTAATTTTCATCTTTACAGTGTTGGCAACCACTTGTTAGGTTCTTTACTTTGACATTTCATCGAACTTGGTGTGGTTTTTTTTAGTCTTGGCTTTCCTGGGTTCTTCCATTGGAACGATTGGGCTTTGGTTTCGATGTCATAGCTATATACCCATGATTCGTCACCAGTTATGACCTTTTTAAACAAATCTGAATCGCCTTTGACGTCATTCAACAATTCCTGCAACTTTTTTTTGTCAAAATTCATCAATTCTGGAACGAACTTCGCTGCCATACGCTTTCCGAAAAAATTGCATGGCATGAGCCCATCGATATGCCGACATCTTCAGCAACTTCTCTAATAGTGACTCGATAATTCTCCATAACAATGGAGCACCACCACCTTACTCCAGACAAGTAAGAAACTTTTTGGATACTACTTTTTCCTATCATTGGATTGGCCGTCGAGGTCCTACAGAATGGCCAGCTCACTCGCCAGATTTGACACCTTTGGACTTTTTCATGAGGCTATTTGAAGCAAAAGGTGTACGAAACTGAACCTGCTTCAATATTGAATATACGGCAGAGAATAATACTGTGGAAAATGTTCGACGTGAAATATCGGATAGGCTGTTCACATGTCAAGAAGTTCAAGGCAACCATTTCGAGCATCTTATGATTTGACCTCAAGCTTATTATCCCATATTATTTAATTAAATGTCAGTGTTCTCAGGCAATTATTAAAAGTTCCGCCATTTTGTAGTATTTGAAAATATTGACATTAACAATTTACGGAAAAGGGAAAGATATAATTTCCTATGCATGACAACTACTTCAAATTCAAAACTGTGAATTATACTGAAATCGCTTTTTTCTGAATTCTCTATAGAGATTAAAATAAATAGGAATTTTTTGAAATTATTTTTCAAACTGGCATTCTGAATGAGAATTTTATTTCTGCCACTGTCAAGTAGTTATCCAAAAATTTCAAAAAGTTTCGAAAGTTTTTTATTTGTACACAAGGAAAAAGAAAAGTTTTTTGTGATACCTGTGTTGTATTCACTTCAAATCAAGTTGTGACTAGAACTGGAAAATTCGATAAATTTGAGCAGTGGCTTATAATTCTTCAAATAATGTCCATTATGAAAATAAAGGGCACATAATTTTCCATATATATTGTTTGTTATGAAACCATGAAAAAGTCTCCACAATTCATGTTCGAATGATTATATTGTAAATTAATTGACCATCTATAAATATTTCAAATACTTTTGAAATGATTTGTACGGTTTTCAATTATATATCGTACAATGACTTTCCAATATCTACTGCTATCTAGAACTAATAGGTGGTATTTCCGTGGGAAAATAATTTAGAAACTTTCGGTAATATATAACATACAAATACGACGCGTACAGTTAACATACTGTTCGAGTAATTAACTGTTATCAGTGCGAATATTGCAGTGTGTACAGAGCTCATTTGAAGTGAAAAATTTTATTATCAAAAGACATAAAAAAATCGATGCTATCAGGTCGTTTCAAAAGTTTTGTCCATTTTTATAAGTCTACTTTGAACTACAGTAGCCCATTCACTACTTATTCAGTTTATTCAAAATAAGCGCCATTCAAATCAGTGCAGTTTTGCCAACGATTAATTATCGACAAAGTTGACAATGGTCGTTTTTGCCTGGTCCTGATTAGTGAAGGAAAAGTTATCGAAATGCTCGAACATAAGGTAGTCGGTTGGCGAGAGGTCTGGAAAGTATGGTGGGTGAGACAGAATTTCGATGCTTAATTCGTTTACTTTTTGGACAGTGATTTGTGAAACGTGCGGACGGGCACTGTCGTGGGGTAGGATCGGACCTCTTCTTTTGACCAGTGCCGGACGCATTTTTCGGTTCATTTCGTAGATTTCCTCACAATAACAATCTGCTATGATGAGGGTTTTGCAGAATGTTGTAGTAGGTTTGTTCTGGTTCTAACACCTGAAACTCTTTGAAAACTGGGCAAGACATGATGCGTACAAACAAAAAATCTTAAACAGTCCGAAATAGTCTCGGACACTTGGTTAAACCAGAACGCATTTTGTGGAGACCACTATCGTATATATGAAGAAATGAAGACGAGAAAATACCGTTCAAATTCAAATTCAAATCAGTGCAGTTTTGCCAACGATTAATTATCGACAAAGTTGACAATGGTCGTTTTTGCCTGGTCCTGATTAGTGAAGGAAAAATTATCGAAATGCTCGAATATAAGGTAGTCGGATGGCGGGAGGTCTGGAAAGTATGGTGGGTGAGATAGAACTTCGATCCTTAATTCGCCGGAACTGTTCGGAAACTGCGCAAGACATGATGCGTACAAGCAAAAGATCTCAAACAGTCCGAAATAGTCTCGGACACTTGGTTAAACCAGAACGCATTTTGTCGAAACCACTACCGGTATTTGTCGAAACCAATACCGTTGATCATGTCCATTTTGTTATGTAGCGTATCCTTGTAGTCAGTTCAAACGTTATCTAACCTCAATCATCAATTATTTAAATCAAATAAACAAAAAATCATCCTAACAAATAGCCCTAACAAGTTTCCACATGAATGCCCATGAGCAATAGGAACAGTTCTCAACAGTTCAGCTTCGAGAGCAACAACGATTCGGGACTGTTCAAGACAGTTTAGGATCATTTCGCAGTCGGAACCAGAACAGAGGATTCATCTATCCGAACTTATCCTCAATAAACCTGAACGCTCTATATCAACTGGGCATGATCCTGACGTCCTAGAACCTGAATTTCGTAGAACCAGAGCAAACCTAGTAAACCACATCAGTTGCTGACCACTATACTATGGTCTATTTTGATGCGTTTTCGCCTTTGGGAAGTGCAACCATTATCCTGAACGTCTTTGGTTGTAGAAGATTCACTTTTCATCACACGTGATGATCCGATCAAAAAAAGGATTCGTGGGGCACCCACTTTTCGAGATTTGGCCTTTCCAATACGTTTTGAACCATCAAAAAAGCATGAGGAGCTGACGTCTTCCCACGCAACGTTTGTAATGGGTCAGTCTACACCAGGATCTTCAAATCCTTGTCCTGGATAGTTGTAGGTAGACCACTACGTAGCTCATCTTCGAGGCTAAAATCTCCGAAACAAAATTTCGCAAACCGACGTCGAACAGTGAGTTCATCAACACTATCATCGCTAAATGCCTGGTTGATTTTCTGGGCTGTTTCGGCAGCGCTTCGGTTCAATTTAGTGGGGGATTCACCAGGAGGCGGATTTTTGGAGTGGCAAATTTGGGTAACGATTTTTTTTGCTACATCATGGAAATCGACAAGATTTTGGTATGACGGTTTTTTGATGTCTTACAGATAGAAGTCTGCAACAAATTTTGCCGATAACTCTCCTGTCTCACTTGTCATTGCACATTCCGCGACGAATTGATCGGGTGAGAGAAGCTTTTCTTGTCTTAAAAGGTTAAAAAAATACCTGAGATCGACCTTGAGTCAAGAAAAATAAAAAGATTCAGCTCTTTTGTGCATAGAGTCAGAAAAAATGAATAAGATTCTCGATGATTTTGTCAAGAAAAATCGCGCAAAAAGGTATTGTAACGAACTTTTATAACTTGACTGAGTTGATTATTTTAATCTGTTTGTAAGCACAATAAATATTATTTATTCACGTTTACCAAATGTACATTATTGTACATTTGGTAAATGAAATTGTTGAGTTGTAAAAATAATGTAGGACATGACAATTGTAGGTGGCAAAACTGCACAGCCTATACCTTAAAATTTTGTAAATAAGCTGAAAAGAGACAAGAAATCAACATCAATGCTGTCAATTCTCTATCGATCAGTATATTATTGATATATGGAGCTACAAAACACATGACAATAAATCGGGCATAACTTTTGAAACAGTCTAATATATTCAGTACGAATATTTCAATTTCCAATAGTTTAAATAATTTTATAGAAATGTTTTCAATACAGGATTGAACAAAACTAGTAAATATGTTGAAACACGTTTTGAAAACCGCGATCGATCGAGATAGATTACCTCCCGAAAAAAGGGTATCATACGCCGGCATAGCTTTGAGGAGGAACTCAACTTTCAAGAACACCCTACCAGTGCACATTCAATTGAGGAGAAGTAACTCACTGTCATGGCCGAATTGCAAGTCGCCTGAAGAATCTCAGGTATATGTACATTTCTTATTGTTAGCTTACAGAAAATATTGTTACGTTTTTCCCCGTGGGTTCACCAATAATTGACTACACTGAAACTTAACTTTATTTTACTTCAAATACAACAAACACATCAACTAAAAATTTAACTATTATTCAAATGTATATCGCCTTATTAGATCACTTCGCGTACCGCACTGTAGCTTCCACTTGACTGTGTCGATATGCTCGCAGCTAGCGTTTAAATATCGTAATCGAATGCAGTAGAAATTTCGCCGAAGTTCTGTCGAAGTCGGTAGCATTATTCTCGCTGCTTCTCGAGTGGCGGGGAATCATCGCATATCAGATACATCACCATTGATTTATGGCTACCAGTGGCGGTCGGCGTTATTTTCTTTCGGGCGTGATTTACAACAATATTATAAAGAAGGTTTAACGCGGAAGGAAAATTTGACGTCCACGAGATATCATCATAAGTTACAATGTGATGTCACTTTGTTACATTGCATGATATTTTTTGGAAATTTATAAATCGACAATTTACTTATTATATATACGGTTCATATTATGCTGTTACTTCTTGGGGTGACCTCTTCGGTTTGTCCTTTATTGTCTAGATTTTTTAATTTATTCAGTTTTTTCACACGTGGGAGGTTGAAAGTCCAAACAATATCAAGGAGCCTCAGTTTCAACAATAACCTCTCCATTCGAGCGAAATTTCTTACCGATGAGCATTTTTTTGAGGTCTGCCAGTACTCGCTGGGAACCAAATCTGGCGAATATGGTGGATGCGGGAGCAATTCCAATTTCAATTCATGTAGTTTTGCCATTGTTTTGATTGACGATCGTTTTGATTTCGGCGCTACGCGCCTCAGGATATAAAAATGCTCGGTAAATAATAGCCCACTTCTCACCCTAGGTATATAATATACTATTTTTCTATAGGTGAAACATACAGAATCGGATATTTTCTCTTTTTAATATTACTTCATATTTAGATTAGCTATGTTTTGCAAAAATTCTAATAGAAGCCAAAAAAGAGCGTTTGGCTTTCTGCTTCTCCATATCTATTATGTGTATTAAGTACGTCATTGGAAAATAATCTGTAATGCTAGTCTCAGATGACTGATTTGACGATAATAAACAAGAAATTATGTTTCGGAGCATCTTTAAGGTTACCGAATACTCGTGAGTAAGTAACACTGCGATATCAAATTTGCATTAGTACATAAACGACTGTTTACTAAGCTGAATAAATTTACGAGTAGGTACATCAGTTCCCTTAGAATAGATAAAGCTTTATCGGTTTTATCTAACGACAGCTCTGTCATTGACGAACAGTCGTCATTCAGTGGTTATGAGTAATCTCAATAGATTTTCGCAAGTGTTTCCATTTTTACACAAGAAATGTCGAAAGAAAAAGGTACTGTTTTCTGTATTGCATTCATGCTCAGTGAAATAATATTTATTGTTGCAGATCGACTATCCGGATATAGAACAGACCAGGAGGGTACAAAACTCGCCTATAATGGACCACCCACAACATAGAAGTATAAACATAATGTTCGAAGATGCAGTAAGTAAAACCACATCAAAGTTATGAAATGAGAATTAGCTTTTCCTAAATAGAAATAACTTTCCACGATACAATTGAGACAAATCTCACGACAGCCTGAATTTGATATTGAACACAATCCTATCAATAAATATACTTGAAACTGTTGCTATGGATTGTATTTCCAACAGACTAATAGAGGGGTTATTATCGTAAAACCATAACATGTATGGAAATGTATGAAATTTGCATTATGGTATTTATAATTTTTCAATGAAATAGTCATATTTAATTATATATTTAAATTCCCAACTACATTAAATAGTTTGTCGTCCTTTATATCTCTCATCCTGTTGAGGCAGAAGATAACGAATTGAATCATCATATTCCATAACTTGGTAATTTTATCACACAAACTAACGCTGACATATACTTACAAGATATTTCAAACGGAAACACTAATATTTTAGAATAAAAAGACATTTGTATTGTTGTTAATCAGTGGCGTTCTGACTGGTTAGTTCGCAAAAGTTTTTTTAAACTTTCTATGCCATTCGTTTGAAATTAAAATGCAGTATTGGGGTTTCCCGTTTACTTTTTTGCGAAAGATAATATAATCGATTCCAGTGTACGAAGTTACTGTGTGAGAGTGGAAAAATGCAGCAAAAATTAAACACTAAATTTAAATTTCATTTGCATTTCAAAGAATTCCAATTCCAATGCATGCAATATAATTAACAAATATACGAGTACGCATACGTATTCGTTTTGACACGTGACGTTTTTATCATACAACCTAGGATATTCTTTCAGTAAATTTATGAAAATACCATATATTTTTTCAAAATGAGATTTTGGTAGACAACAACGATGAATTATAAACAAATCGTTCAAATATTACTTACATATTATTACATTATTACTTACTTATTACAAATAAATGGATATTTCTTTTTCTTCTGAATGTTATGATACAATTCATTTACGAGGTATGTTCAAAAATGAGGTGAAAAGAGTAGTCCCCCTCAGATATAAGACACTTGTGCAACCGTTTTACCAATCCTCGAAGCTGTTTTGATATGCAGTTTATATGCTTGAGCTCTCCGTTTTTATCTCTTCAATCGTCGCAAAACGCCGTCCTTCCCTGGGTCTCTTCAATCTTGGGAACGGGAAAAAGTCTCAGGGGAGCAAATCTGGCGAATACGGTGGCTGAAGCATGATTACGAACAAGCTATGAGGAGTGAGCAGGTGCGTTATTGTGATGCAAAAGCCATGGTCGTGTGCTCAATACGGAGAATTATCTTGATGTTCACGAGAAGCAATACGAAGAAAATGCCCGGTATTATGGCTTTTGCATCATAATAATTCACCTGCTCACTTGTCATTGCTTGTTCGTAATTTTTTGCCAAAAACAATGGCGTAATCATGCCTCAGCCACCGTATTCAACAGACTTGCTCCCCTGCGACTCTTTTCTGTTCCCAGAATTGAGGAGACTCATGAAAGGACGGCATTTTGCGACGATTAAGGAGATAAATTGCCGAGAAAGCTCAAGGACATACCAAAAAGTGCTTCGATATCAACATTTTTTCGAGTATAGGTAGCCCGGTGAATATGAGCAGAAAAGTAAACAACTTACTTTCCTCAAATAAGAGTAAGTTTGTTTTAACTACAGACAGTTGATAACATTACGAAAATTAAGTTCTATTTCCATATCTTATCTCTGTACCAAATGACTGTGTCATCTGCAAAGCCGATATTTCCTAATTCGTTTCCTGAATAGGTAAACTATTCATGTACAGAATGAAAAACGGACCCTTGAGGAACTCCATATGTGATAGCTCTGGTAATGCACTATATCGTTACTTTATATTCGGTCAAATTATAGGCCTTTTTTAATCATATTTGATGGGCTCAAAATTTCGTAGACTAACGCACAGATTGCGTTACTACTATCAAAGCCATATCATTTTTAGTTAATCCTAACCTTTAAAACAATACGTGTAAAGATTTCACAGCTGTCGCACAATGGGGAATGTTCCTCCCGACGAAAATCAAGTAGTTTTCATAAAAGAGCTCTAAAACAACGCATTTTAAACTTATAATTTCAACCTTATTCTTTAAAAAATTATTCAAATACTTAAAAAAGAACAAAGCTAGGCTTGATAAACATTATTAGGACTTTGCACCACGAAAAACAAACATTGGGAAGTGGTTTGCCGAGTTTGAACGAAGTGAAATGAGTACCAAGGACGATTCATGCAGTGGGGACCCAAAGAGGTTGTAACCGACGAAAACATGAATGAAAATCCACAAAATAATTTTGGATGGTCATAAAGTGAAGTTGATCAGGATAGCTAAGGCTCTAAAGATATCAAAGGCTTTGGGTAGGAAAGCTTTGTTCAAACTGGGTGCCGTTCGAGCTCACAATCGACCAAAAACAACAACGAATCAATGATTCTGTAATACTATTCCCGAGTAGAGAGGACTGGATCCTTGGAGAGAAGGAAATATTAAGAACAGATGGATCAAAAACATCTTCCGGATCTAGTGCAGGTGTTTTTAGTCGCAGACCCAGAACAGAGATATCTACCTGCCTAGGAACCTAAGCGACTGTATTTCAAGCGGAAATTTACGCTATTGAATTGTGTAGGAGAGATTGTATAAATCCAACCTCACACACAAGTCATTAAAAATATTCTCGGATAGTCAAGCGGCGTTGGAAGCTTTTAGCTCCTAAATTGGTAGCGAATTGCCAAAAACGACTCTCCTCGATAGAAAAACTTAACAGATTGTCTCTGGTCTGAATTCCTGGCCATACTGGCCTGGAAGGTAATGAAGCTGCTGACTCTCTTGCAAAGGAGGGTGCTGCAAACGGCTTCATCGGACCAGAACCTGTCGTTGCCATCGCTTTAGCCTTTGCCAAACAAAGATTGAACACCTGGATGGCAAGAAGAACTACGATGTCCAACAGGCCTTCTTAAAGGTCACTATCACTTGAATCATCATATGCAGAGACTTGGACTGTGGGAAGACAGTGTGTGTCGCCTCTGTTTGGAAAATGATGAAACAGCAGAGCATATACTTTGTGCCTGCCCCGCTGGGGTCCGGATCAGGTTTTTAGAGTTCGGCAGAGCCGTACTCTTACCATATGACCTGAAAGACCATTCACCATACAAACTAATCGGCTTCGTTAAGAAGCTGGGTTTATTTAGTCGAGTGTGAATAGGTATGAGCCACAATAAACCCTTGCGGGTTACGGTGGATGGTCGAATAAACCCACTCACTTTATACCTAACCTAACCTAATACTCAAAAGTATGCTCGCTAGAGAAAAAATCACCAATGAAGGAGTCATCGGAGAAAATGGAGGCCTATTTTGAGGCTGAACACAAATCGTACTGTAAAAATGGTAACGAATGATTGTACGATCACTAAACTCGTTGTATCGCCTTAAAGGCAACTTTATTAACTAACAAAATCAAATTTTATCAAAAAAATGTTCTATGCTAGCCTACGGACTTTCCAGCGAAAATGTTAAATAATTTTTCCAAAACTTTTTTGGCGATTTTTTCTCGAATTCCAAACTGTTGAACCGATAAAATTTTGAAATTCGTTAGAATATCTTCAGTAATAAGTTCTATAATTTCTTCTGAATTCGTAATAGCCCTCTCAAATATAGCCCTCTTAAATATGGACTGGTCTATTTTTGAAGCTAATCGAGATGTCAACTACTTATCTCATTTTATAACAAACACCTTTAGACAGCTGATCGTTGATATTTTTCCTCTGAAAAAATGCCGTGAAAAAGTCAGGAAATCTCCAGTAAATTGGTTTGATGATTCTTTGAGGGAAAAAAGAGACAAACTCTCCACTCTCAAAGAGCCAGCTCAATTTTTTTGCTCCGTCAACTGAAGCCAATTACAAGTTTTCCAACACTCAAAAATGTATATTTTTCATTATTTCACTCTGTCATTACTTATGGGATTGTACTATGGGGGAACGCCTCTAGTGCTGTAGATATTTTCCGACTTAAAAAAAAAGCAATCAGGATACTTGCCAATGTGAGTTTTCGTGATCACTGCCAGCCCCTTTTTGCACAATTACGCATATTGCCTTTGCCTTCATTATTAATTTTCTCGGTTCTGCTCGAGATCCACAAAAATCGAATGTGTCTGCGCAAACAATCCAATATACATAATCATTATACCAGAGCTGCAGGAAATATTCGTACTGATCGTTTTCGCTTAAACAAATCACAGAAAAACTCTCTAAATTATAATCTTTACAACCTGTTACCGCAGGAATACAAAATCCTATCAAACAATAAATTCAAGAAGCGCTTAAAAGAATTTTTACTAACTAATTGTTTTTATTCTGTCAGTGATTTCATGCAGCATTTTCGACATCGCTAGTGTATTTCTATGGAGTGCACTCGCCACTGCGACATTTTACAATAGCTAGTAGCAGTGTACTATATTTTAAAATTTTATCTTATTTTGTTTCTCTATGTGTTGTATTCTTTTTAGATATTATTTGAACTTACTACAAACATTATGTAATGTAAGGTAGTCAATAAACTTCCATTCATTCATTCAATCTCTTTTTTTGTAGTACACGCAGAATATGCCAAGACAAAACCTCTACCACAAATGTAGCAGAGGGTCGCACTCATCAGACACTAGTTCCGCTTACAGCGGATCAGACACAATGGCCTCCACCCATTCCGAACTGGACGGCGATGAGCTGGATCTCACTGGACTCGTCGAAAGTATGGTAGATAGTGACGAAGAAGACGATATGACTGAAAGTATGGATGTAAGTCTCCCTCTGCGTGTTTTGCGAGAAATTTTGCAATTAACCGCGATATTTTTACTTTCAGAGTTTGACAGTTAGGGACAGGGTGAGAGACTGCTTGGAAAAGGAGCCTTCGGAACGCACAGAAGACGATATCGAAGCTCTGTTAGAATTCACCCAGCATTTGAAAGCTTTCACGAATATGACTCTGGCTGTTCGAAGAGCGCTTTGTGCTGTAATGGTCTTTGCGGTTGTTGAAAAGTCCGGAACGATCGTTATGAACGACGGGGAAGAACTAGATTCGTGGTCGGTATTAGTCAACGGTTCTGTAGAAGTGGTTATACCTGATGAGCAGAGTCAAATACTCTACATGGGAGACGCTTTTGGAATCCTACCTACGATGAACAAACTCTACCACAAGGGCGTTATGGTAACCAAATGTGATGATTGTCAATTCGTCTGCATTACGCAATCAGACTACTATAGGATACTGCATCAAGGTGAAGAAAACACGCGCAGGCACGAAGAGGATGGAAAACTGGTGATGGTAACCGAACTCCGAGGCCACATGGAACCTAGCAGCAATAGGCGAGGGCATGTGGTGATACGCGGCACCTCAGAACGTTTGATGCAGCAGCTGATAGAGGAAAATTCCCTAACTGACCCCACCTACGTCGAAGATTTCCTATTGACGCATCGAGTATTCATTCAGAGCCCGCTTCTCGTAGCCAATCAGCTCCTGGAATGGTTCAAAGACACGGAGATCCGTGACAGAGTGACCAGGGTGGTACTACTATGGGTCAACAATCATTTCACCGACTTCGAGACAGACCCGGACATGATTGAATTTTTAGAAATGTTCGAGCAAGGTCTCGAAAACGAGAAGATGGTAGGGCAGTTGCGGTTGTTGAACATTGCTTGTGCAGCTAAAGCTCGAATACGGAACGTGGTGCTGGCTAGACCACACAGGGATGAACCGTTGAGTTTCTCAATTCTCGGGGGATACGAACGAAACTTTGGTATTTTCATTTCCAAAGTGGAAAAAAAATCCAAAGCCGAAGACGTTGGTTTGAAACGAGGCGACCAAATCATTGAAGTGAACAATCACAGTTTTGAGCATATGTCGCATGCTCGGGCGTTAGAAATTTTACGTGGGACTACTCACTTGAGTATAACCGTCAAATCGAATCTGTTGAATTTCAAGGAAATGTTGAACACCCCCGATAACTCACCTCGGCCAAGGAGTCGGAAAGTATCGGATATTTCGAAATTACCGCCTGACCCTAGAGCGAGGTTGTCAAGCGTCGATGGAAATATTATTTTAGGCCACGATCCACCGTCTGCTCAACCCATAACTATCAACAGCCCCGCCAAGGAGGGGAAAAAGCAAAGCTTCATGACTCTCGGAAGGTTACAGAAGGCTCTGATGAAGATGAATATCTTGCCCAAAAATATAATCAAGTGAGTAATATTCGCGAAGTAGAAACGACATGTTTGAACTTCCCTCTAACTTTTTCAGTGTCGGTATGAGTCAGGATCAAGTAGACAGCTTCAACCCGCCATCAACATTGGCCACAAATATTTATCAGTCGCAGAGCAACCCTGACCTTATGTCGATTTGCTATGATGATTTGAGATGCACGGATTACCCAGAACATGTTTTAAAGGTAATGGACACTAATTAGAAAAGGGTAATAGTAATAAGTATGTTAAACCAATGCGTTTTAAACAATCAAATACCGCATGGGAGCTGACGCTCGTTTTTCATTAATTTTTCAATGACTTATCGTGTGCCGTTGCTCAGCCGTGGTTGATTCAAATTACGGAGCGATACAACCTTCAGTTGTAAATTATGCGGTGGCCTTCCTTGCAAATCCAATGAGTTCAAAAACCCTGTTGGATGATTCACAGCTTCGGTGGCTTCGCAAACTTTATCTACGCTTGATGGATAAACAATAATAGTGGCCAAAAACTGTGTAGGGAGTGAAAGAGGGCTTATTGTGTGAGAGAGACAGGAGACCGGCAGACGCCTGGCGGAAATAACTGATCAAAGATCAGTTATTCCCGCCAGAATAACTGATCTTTGATCAATAAATAATATCAATGATGAATAAAAAATTTCATCCAAAAAGTTTTAAAAAATGTTTGGTGTGCAGCACTATTACTTAGAGGTATTAAAAATAAATTACAACCTATTCTTAGACCTACCGAACATAACGAGTGATTTTTTTGCTAGTATCTTTTTGGCAACACTGTTTTTGACAGATCGCGTGAATCATGTCTTGTGTCACTGTCAAATTTGTTCAGTTTGGTCTATAATTTATCCATGAATCGACTTACGAATGAACAACGCTTGCAAATTATTGAATTTTTTTATCAAAATTCATGCTAGTTGAAGAAAGTGCATCATGCACTTCTTCCAATTTATGGGCAGTTTCGTCGGCTTGCTGAGGAAACTATTCGGAAGCTTGTGACTAAATTTCGAACCCAGTTTACTGGAAACACTGTCCGATAAGAATTTTATATATACAGAGATTTCCATCCCAAATATTTATAATCATGATTATATTGAGTAAATAACGTATTGGTATTTTTTTTTAGGTGTATAAACCCGATCAAAGTTATAAGTACCTTCTAGTTCACAAAGAAACCACCGCCCATGAAGTAGTAATGCTGGCGTTACAAGAATTCGGAATAACGGAATCGAGTAGTAACTTCAGCCTGTGTGAAGTGTCAGTCACTGACACGCAAACTATAAAACAAAAACGATTGCAAGACGACCTCCAAAACCTAGCAGAAAGAATAGGACTGAGTAGTAGATATTACCTGAAAACAAATGGCGTTACCGAAACTCTGGTACCTGACGACCTAGCTCCAGAATTAGTGAGGGAGAGTGCGGTCCATTTTCTGCAGCTAAACGCTGTCGAGGTGGCCATCCAGTTGACGTTACTGGACTTCAGTATATTTAGACAAATTGAACCTACCGAGTACATCGACGATCTCTTCGAATTGAAATCGAAATATGGTACTCCCATGTTGGATCGGTTCGCCGCTCTCGTCAATAAGGAAATGTTCTGGGTGGTGTCAGAAGTGTGTGCGGAACACAATCCTGTAAGGAGAATGAAAATCATCAAGCAGTTCATAAAAGTAGCGAGTAAGTAGTTTATTCAGTTCATTTCCAGAAACGTTTCTTCATAATGAGTCAAACATTTTTTGTTTCTTACGGAACACGTCCTTTTTTTTCAAGAAAGACAATGAAATACAGAAACATAAAATGAAAGTTCTTAGTGTCTGAATATAAAATTAGGTGTACCTATGCGGAAAGCTCTATTTTGCCGAAATTCTTTCCTGTGATTTGGTATACGCCGCAGCTCAAGAAATGAGGTGAATTTTCATTTTTCTTAAAAAAATATTTCAATTTCCATTTTGTACCCTCAGATACCAGCGTTTTTACAACTCAATGAATTTGGAAACAGGAAAAAGTCGCAGGGGATCAAATCTGGTGAATACGCAGAACACTTCTAACTTTTATGCCTCTCATCAACGAACTAAACATGCTAAACAGCTAAAACTGTGAACATATGTTTGAAACGATTATAACAAACTAAACTAGTTGAATGTACTTAGCCCGCGAAACAGTCCACGTATGACATTCTACTATGGGATACGTCTTGATTCATCAAAAATCTTTTTATGACCCAAACAAATATTGTTAATAATAATTGTATCAATGAAAACTGCTGTTTTCACCACTGGTCATTCAACCTGCCTATACATTACAGAGGCCTCCTGTTACATCTGCAACATCAAACATAAGTAGGGTGGTATCTATTCATTTTCAACTAGATATAAAACCTTATTGTATCCAGCAATTAGAACTTTCAATCAACCTACAATGGTGCACAATATATGGTAATACAAATTTTCAAGTTGCCAAAAAACATCACAAATTGTGCTACACTTGTTGAATTTAGAAGTAGCCTCAAATAATAATAATAATATCGTTTATTATGCATACTACTAAATTCAAATATAATCAAATAAATACAAACAACATAAATATAAAAATTAAAGATGAACGTATAGAAATAGTAACATTTGGCCACGCAACTTTCTGTATCAATGTTATGGGAAGACAAATATAACTGTATATCATCTGCGTATAGATGTACTAAACAATGTGATAAGAAAGTGGGGTAATCAAAAATAAACATTAAAACATCAAGGGTCCTAAAATACTTCCCTGCGGTACACCTGAGAATTATATATTTTTAAATAAAAATGTATTCATTCTCTGTGAGTTTTTACAAAAACTCATTTGTGATTGTTGACTTTGATGAGTTTTTCGGCTTGTTTGTAACCCATATAGCTGTTTTCATGTGACATATTATGATGTATGCATATTATGTGTTATAATATTTCAGACCTTATTCATTTATCTGTGACTTGACATATGTATGTTATTCATATTCATGGTGAATAAATATTATTAGTATTGTGTCGAAGCTATTTTCCGGTTTTTTTTGGACGTGATTTTCACGGTTTTATGCTTGAAGTTTCGTCTACTACTGCGGTAAACATTATCAAAGGCAACGGGGTAACGATGGAAGTTCTCAAGTAGTTCTCAACACTGTAGTTCTCCTCATTGCCTTTGATAATTTCTACCGCAGTAGCAAACGAAACGTCAAGCGTGAAAACCTGAAAGTTTATATTCTTTGATTACTAGTATTATCAAGCGACAATTTTATAGGGCAATGCAAGGAATGCAAGAATTTCAATTCAATGTTTGCCATCATAAGCGGTTTAGGGCATGGAGCTGTTTGGAGGTTGAGGCAGAGTTGGGACAAGTTGCCTGGAAAGTACACCCGGGTTTTTTCGGAGCTACAGCAGCTCATGGATCCGTCTAGAAATATGAGCAAGTACAGACAGTTGGTCAGTGCTGAACAAACTCAACCCCCAATTGTAAGTATATTAATTGATTTACGACTGGTATGATTCACGGTTTCAATTTAAAAGTCATTTATAGAGAATACTATCTATCTTTTCACCCAATTTTAAACTTTCACAATATGCTGATCAAAAATTATAGTAGCCATTTCAAGAAATAATCATTTTGAATTAATTTACTCTGTGCTAAAATATTCTGATAACTTTCCTTCAATCAAAGTCTAAAAGTTGATTCATTTCAAAGCAAGACATTGTTTGTATTTGAGACAATTCTTTTTAATTCCTGTTGATTCTTCAATTCAGTTTGTTATTCATCCTTATTATCTTCGAAAGTCCAAGAAATAGAAGTTTCATGAGTTTTTAGTTTTTCCAAAATGGTTTAGCCAATCAGCAACACATTTTAAATGGTTCGTTGTATTCATTGTATTTCTGCAATATCAAATTAACTAAAAGAACAATTTGTTCAGGCTAGTCTCGACTTTTCTACACTGTAGGTTAATGGACTGACGCCTATCAGAAAACAACTATTCTCCTGGCTAATACCAGGAAAGGCGTTGGATTATATCCAACAGGCATCAGTGCAGGAATCTTCACAGAAGTATTTGCTGCATATGCTGTTGGCAGTACAACTGCTGGAATCGATTTTCAAGTATAGGAATGGGCATACTTGCAAACCAGTTTTGGGCTATTTGGCCTCTCGTCAGTGCAAGGTAGTGGCCATCATCAACCTAAAGTTGATCATATTCCATAAGTAAAAATGGAATTCCTTTTCGAATATCATTTCTCTAGCTAAACTGTAAACAAACACAATTTTGTTATCGCTCCATCTGGTAAATAAAGAACTAACCAATTCCTCGTATGAGGAATGAAACTTTTCCATATATTCGGTGGGCATACCTGCAATATCATCTTAAACATCTCAAAATTCTGTGTAGCTACTGTCTGACAAAATAATGACTCTGATTGTATCATTGAAATCACATGTCAATACAATACAAAACGTTTTAGTTTATAAAGTTTTCTTTCAATTCCCTCTGGGTAACACTTCTTACAGTTATTCATTTTTCAATTGATTTTGTTGTGTGACATGTTTTTTTTTACTTTTTAGTCTTATCTGGTACTTACCCATACTGTAAGTCTAAGTGTCGTTCTTTCTGCATTAATCTTCCAGTTATACATAAACACAACCTCAGTATGCATTGTTTACCCTTTCACTCAATTCTTACTCCAGTCACATATCGATATGATGAATTTACAATATTTCTTGATTGTTGAACCTATTTCATTTCCGTCTCCTTCAATGTTGACTGTGAATGCTCATTTCAAATTAAATTTGTTGCATCACAATATTAATTGTCTTTGACTTTCAGATACCTTTTTATCCTGTAGTTAAGAAAGATTTGACTTTCATACATCTTGCCAACGATTCAAAAGTTGAAGGCCTAATTAACTTTGAGAAGTTGCGTATGATTGCAAAAGAGGTCAGGTCTCTCGGAAATATGTGCAGCAGCCCCTATGACCTACTTACTATGCTCAAACTGGGTGGCCAGCCTACCAGTAATGCCATGGTGGTTCTCAATCAACTCACAACAGCGTCTTCGCAATACCATGCTCAAGGTAAGACAAACATCTCTCTTATTTGTCAAGCAATGTCGATTATAAATAGAAATACAGTAAAATAAAATTATCAAGGTAAATGAACGAGAAATATGCAAAATAATAAGGGAAAGGTTTTAAACCAAGTTACTTCATGACGTTTCAATTGTTATTATCCACAGTCACATTCAGGTAATAACTGGTTTCAACCACTTCAAAACAGTATACTGAACTAGATAGATAGACTGTCTAAAGAACAGTAAATTCTTGCTGACAAAGTTAGGAAGATAACTATTATAATTTTCTGCTGAAAGAAAGTAAGGTGAATTTTCATTTCTCCCAAAAAATATTTATCAATCATAGATTTAGTTCAATTTGAATTCGTAGAGAAAAATTGCCAAAAATCGCTCAACGACATCATATAGTAATAAGCTAAAGAGAGGAAAATAAATAAAATTTAGAAAAAATTGAACAGCATCAATGTGTAGAATAACACTGGAGTTTTTTCCCGGTCACCAAACCGTTATTTTAACACCTCGACACGTGTTTTGATCACCAACTTTATTTGAAATATATCACAACATATTTCACGTAGCACAGTAGCTTTCACAAGTGATTTGAATTCTTCAAGTTGTTCTTACATTAAAAATCTGTTTTTCCGTTAATCAGGTGTCGCCCCATTGGAACGACAACTCTCAAAAGTTGAGAAACTTGTGCGAGCTAAGGACTAACGAGGTCTTACCTTTCAACGTGTGATTCCTAACACGGTTCTTACATTAATATTTATATACTACAGGTAACCATAATTGAGACTACCTAGAAAAAATTACCTAAACCTCTACCTAAGGCACCTGTTCAATTATGATCACCTGAAGCATATTACTTCACATCTACATCAATAATAATTCTTTCTCGGTTTTTAAGAAAACAAGTTCAATAATAATAATCAAGTGACATCCAGTACTTAAAATGTATTTTCTGGAGTCCCTCAAGGGTCATTATTGGGTCCATTGCTATTCTTGTTGTACATACGTGTTAAAAGGTGTAAGATAAAACTGTTTGCCGACGACACTATGTTGTACTGTTCTGGGACAACTAATGAAATCTCAGAATGTTTGAATGATGAACTATTGAATATAAATGAGTGGTTATATGACAACGGCCTCAAGTTAAATGTTAATAAAACAAAATGCATGTTAATAGTTAGCAAATATCGTTTGAGACAACTGCAAGATGAACAGCTGTCATTGAATCTTTATATTGATAATGTCATCATTGAAAGGGTAACAACTTTTAAATATCTGGGAGTGGTATTAGATCAAGAATTGAACCTTAATGCGCACTGTAGTTAGATTCAGGGGAAAATAGCTACGAAAATTCATCTTTTATATAGATTGAAAAATAAAATAAGTGAATATGTAAAANATCGTGAGGTGTAATTTTTGAAATTACTATGGATCTTCATCAAGTAACGGCCGAATCAATCAGAAAACCAAGTGATCATATTCAAGAGGAAGATCAAACAGTTTCGGGAGCCGGTAATGCTTAAAAAATTAATGAAAAAAAGATTGAGATGAAGGGATGGTTCAAAATTTGATATGAGACTCCGACAACTTTCCAAATTTTCCTAAACCTAGCATGCTTCTCCCGTAGGTCAAGCCACCGTAAAACGACGAAAGAAACCGGCTGCCGCACCCAATCCGAAAAAGATGTTTGAAGAGTCTCAAATGGTGCGACGGGTAAAGGCCTATCTAAACAACTTGCAGGTAGAGACTGATGAAGCGAAATTGCACGAAATGTCACTCGAATGTGAGGGTCCTGCCACAGGAGGATCTTCAGGACCTGGATCTCAGAGACCTAAGAGGCATTCGTCCCCCGCCCCTTCCACTACAAGTAGCACTAGCAGTGCCAGTGATGAACGAAAACCTATACCCAAGTTCGGTGAGCCAATTAAAAACTAAATATCCGTGTTAATTTCTGATCATGACTTTAATAAGGAATGTGTACTAATAGAATGATGTGAATCTTCTAAACAGAAACAATACTACCTTGCTTATCACTAATAACAGTNAGTGATTAAACATCTTGACCCCATTGTAATAAATAGAATTCCTGACCAAATTTGTTAAAGGAATTGGCAATTTCAATGCGGTGGAATGGGTGCTATAAGAATGGCATGAAGCCTCAAATAGGGGCATATTTTTGTAAATGAGGCAAATCATTTCCAAAATGAACAGAGCAATCACTGTTAAAATCTTTTGCTCAGCGAATTTGTGTCTGCATGAATCACGAGGTTTAATTTCACACATATACCTGATAGCCCGTTTCTGCAGTACTAATACAGACAGAAGTGCTGCTGAATTGCATACTTCCCAAAACGGTATTCCATAACGTAGGTGAGATTCAACTAGAGCGTAATATACCGTTCTGGCAGTTTTGATTCCCAAATTTAATGAAGTTACTCTCACTGCATAACATCCAGAACAAATTTTACTTTTAAGTTGTTTAATGTGCTCAATAAATTGAGCTTGTTGTCAGTGTGAATACCTAGAAATTTAGATTGAGTCTCATTCTTGACTAAGTTATCACCAAACGACAAATCATCAAGAGCACATCTCAATGATAAAATGTTTGTTTTAGTGATATTGAAGGATAGCAAATTAGCATCACACCACTCCTTGATTTTTTTTCATATCAGTAGATATTGTATGTAGATAGATATTGTATGTGTAAATCATTTGAGTTTTTGTTGTTCCACAATATCGTCGTGTCATCAGCGAAAAGAGTGAAATTTACAAAAATTCTCAAATTTGCAATATCATTGACATATAATAATAATACACTGATCCTTGTGGAACACCACACAAAATTTCCCCTTTTTTTTCTGAAAGTCCTGTTGTTCTTACCATTTGATTCCCACTGTTTATAAAATTCAACGAGTGTTTACACCTATCTAATCTGAATGATGGTTATTGAAAAAATGTTCATCAACTAATAGTCACCCCCTCAGGATAAAAAATTTGCTTAATAAACTGATCATTTAGGATAAATCTATTGATGGCACATTTTCATTTTGTAGAAAATTAAATGGATAAATTCTTGAGAAATAAAATCATTTCCCTGGCAATAGTCTTTCGTAACAATTACCTGTATTATTCAATTGAGATGAATTGACAGTCATACCATTTCAAATTTTATTCTAAATATCTGCCATCACCAGTAAATATCTAATTTATTGAAGACAGACAGATGTTTTATTTTGGAAATTTTTACGGAGAGTGGGGAATATTGCCACACAAATTTTTTGAGATATCTCTCAGTCAGACTCGTTTCCCATTTGATCGTAATGTTATTATGTTGGTAGTATTTTTTCACTTCACAAAAGTATTGTGAAATAATATGTTTTTTATAGTTATAACATCAATGCATATTTATGAAAAATATGTTTTTTTTATAACGTTTCATTTCAAAACTTAAATGTTTCTTGATTCAGAGTAATAGTTATTTCATTATTGTGAGCAATGTTTCACAAATATTCACTGATGTCCCACGAACAAATATTTTAACCAAAGAAAAGGGTAAAACTTCTGATGCCAATTATTTTATTTTTCAAATTTTCAAACAAAATATTCCATACTGTCTTGCATTTTATATTTTGGTAGAAAATTCAAGCTTTGATGTTGAAGTAGTGGCCTTGTTCATGGTTTTTTTATGAGTTCATGTTATAGAGAGCTTTACATACTTAGAAATTAATATGAAGTTGCTATTTTCAGTGTATGTACTCTTGTTTTTCAAACTGCTTCAGCAATCGATTAACTCATCGGAAATTATAACATCAAATTGAAAACAGAATATTTTTAGAAGATATGAGATTCTTGGGAAAAAAGGCTTCTTGGCTTTCTTCTTTCTTATCATAAAGCTTCCAAAGAAAGGAAGAAAGAAAATAACTCTAATGAAAACTTTTTAAAGATATGTATATCACATATAAACTGTACTCCAAACATAGGAACGCTACACCATTCCATATATGAAAAAATATTGATATAAATTGTCACTTACATGGAACATTATCATCTCCAATGGTGTACTTCAAAGTTTTGGGACTTTTTCACGTGGAAGTAGTTGTTTCGAAAGGTTTTCCCTTTCAGTTTGTATCCCAAAGAAACTTCTGTGTATTTTTATAAATAGTTTTTATTCATTTATATTATTTCTTCCTTTCCTTGAGTTTCCCACATTTTTTGTGGAATCATAGAGAAATAGAACACTAAAAAGCTTTTTTTTCCTGATAGTTTAGTTGTCCAACAGCAAACTCCTCTCTAACGACAATTAAAATGTCTATTCACTTTTCTCAGTCAGCACTAGATTTAGAACATCTACACTATGTTACTGGGAACAGGTATGGTAAATATTTTTAAACACTGATCTTTGATAACAATTACAATTGCCATAAGTAAGTGCATTTCTAAAACTAATACTCTTAACAAGTATAACCAGCAAACCATGATTTGTCCTGAATAAGAAAGTATTAATGGAAAATTACTATATAAAACACTTTTCCCACACTAGAAGAAACAGTATTTTTGTTTTTTTTTGAGAAAAGTATTTTCAATAGATATAATTGAAAAATGCTTTTTTATTATACTGAAATAAGATATTTATTTTGAAGTGATCTATGTTCAATAGCAACAAATAGTCTGTGTCAAGAAATTCGTTTTATTTGTGAAAATAAAATATTCACTTGTGCTCTATTTCAATGTACTATAACGAATTAAAGAATTTACTGTCTTGAAAAAATTTATTTTTGACAATATTTCACTATCGCAAACTAATTTATTTACAACACTTACCACTTAATTTATTTTCACTATTTCAATTCTTTATTTAACCACTCAATTCACTTTCTGAATTTGACTGCCATCTCTGGACGGGAAGCAGGCCTTATATATCGGTAACGATCGTTGTAGATTTATCTAGTGGTCAGACTACATTCTTTCGCGGTGATGTCATGTGTTTATTCGCTGGCTGAGATATCGGTCAGGGACGGCTCCAGATTCATTACAGTACTTTTTTTTGAGAAACCTATATAGATATTAACCATCAACGAATTTCTTTCAGCAAATATCGTCATTTTTCAGCTGTTTTCTTTATAACACTGCTCATTTACCGTGATTTAATTTCATAAATACGTGATCAGTTTTATCCGTCAGTCTTTGTCAATATCATAATTACACAGCATTTTTCATCCCTGAATGGTTAAAATGCACATCACCCTACAAATCTATTAGTTATCACTGAAAAGCTGAGAGATTCATCAACAATAATTTAAAGTATAATAAAAACTGAAAATTGTAGCAGAATGAAAAGTTTGGTTCAAAAAGCAAGAAATAATCTTACGTAAGTAAGTATTACGTAAGCTCAGTAAGAGAAAAATTTACTAAACTGACATTGTAAACCAAGTCCAATAATACACCAGAGAAAAATTGAACTTTGGCGAGGAAACATTGAGTGATTGAGACATGTTTTGCTAGAGAAAAATTGAGTACCAAAATCGGAACTACTTTTGCGTTTCGTGCGTCTGAAAATTCATCAGATATTCAACTGAGAATGAAGAAACGTTGAGAAATATTATACATTTCATATTTCCTGAGAAAAAAACTTCAAATGTGCTGAAGCAGTTTTTTAGCAGTACTGTTTTGCACTTTATAATTTATCGGCAGTACCCAAAAATATTGATTTTATTTTAAATTTTGGCCAATAGGAAGTTATTCCAGTTACGGATCCCACAGCTCGAGTAGTTCAGGTGCAGGTGGTAGAGCGATGCATGAGAGATCTCATTCTGATACCCCCACCCCTCTTCCATCAGTCGCACTTTCAGCAGAAAGCAGTAGTGTTACATCACTGAGTAACTTGCCACTGAGGAAAACCGTTACATCAGGTAAGTTTATCGTGTCTAGTGTTCTCAACATTTCTGATGTTTGCAGCTTACTTTAACAACGAAATAATTCAACAGTAACATTGCGATTTATTTCAAACTAATACATAAGCTTTGTAAATGTGTATAAAGGGTAAACACAGATGAATGAGCATAATCAGTATAAAAGTATCAATAGGCCATAAACAACAGGTTAGGATCATCATCAATTTTCTATAATTGACCCAAAGCCGCATCCTTCTCAATTTCATTTTTTTTGGAATTTTTCAGCCAAAAATTATAGTACCAAGTTAACTCTTGTATAACATGTTGGATCTATGCCTGCATTTTTTAACCCTGATGGCACGTTTACCTTTGTTCTGTGATAGACATATAAATTCTGGTTCTTCAATATTCACATGTACTTTTTCAAGTTTCCCAAGAATGCTCTTGGGAAACTATATTATACAATAAACATATTTTGGAGAGGTGCATATGAAATGCCCAAGTTCTGGTGAAAGTACCGAACCCTTGTCTCTCACGTGAGACCTTCGATTTTGTAGGTACCCGACGGAAAAACAACAGCTAACCCAACTAATGTCGCGCAGAAAGCTGAAATAAAATCATCAGGCGCCTGAGCAACGTCTTCCATTTGGAATATTCGTCGCAAGTAACTACCTACATGTGAAAAGCTGTAATTGATTTCTGCATGTGCCTGCAAGTGGTACATACTACTTAATTAACTGCAGGCAGACTAGTTAGAATTGATTTTGTATCTTCAGAATATTCAAACGTTTCACACACCAGCAAGAACAACTTGGATGCACATTGATTCACATTGTTCCTTGGTTAGGTTAGGTTAACCTAGGTTAGGTTAAGTTAACCTAACCTAACAATGTGAATCAATGTGCCTCCAGTCGAAAGTGACACATCACACCCTTCATATACCACGCCGACGAATCAGGATATTCTACGTCACAATTACAGCCTACCTTAACATATAAATGAACAAGAATCGACAAGAATGACTTCAGTTTGAAGTTCATCTACCTGAGGTCTACTGTGAAGTCTTAATATGCCTACTCTTCAGGTAGTGACATGTTTTAAGGGTTTTGAAACTTGACGCCGGGGTCTCAATCAGTCTACTCCTCAGGTTTCATAAATTTCATAAATAAAATTGATTCTTCATTGAAAGGTTAGGTTGTTGGGAGCAGTAGCCACGTTTATTAATTTCCATTACTTTGTTATCTCATTTGGGACGCACAAATTATTGACGGAGTTGCAAATATCCATTAACTAATCTCTATCGTTATTGAAATCATTTTGAAATGTTTATTAGTTATGAACTTTTGATAAGTATATGTAACTTAAAATGATATTTAGTCTCATCTTCAGTATATACTGTTTGAAATATTTCTTTCAACTATGTGCTAACTGAACTTAATTCTACTATATATTTTCTCGAAACAAGTGTTTAGTCACTTATCGACTAGATTATTTATTTTTACATTACAGTTGAAGCAATGTATGATTTTATTTTTTTCTAAATTTTAATAACTATCATTATTAGTTCGAAAATCGGTTTCACAATAAGTATCGAACATTTCTTGAGTTGAACTCGTTAGGAATAGCACGTTAAAAGGTGAAACCTCGTTAATCTTCAGTTCACAAAAGTTTCAACTTCTGAGGTAGTTGTTCATGAAAGGCGACAAGTGGATGACTGAAAAACAGATTGTTATATCATCATCACCAGCGAAGAATTGAGAACTTAATATCGAAACTAAAGCTGAACTCGTGTTACCACTGCCACTTATTGATTCACCAGAATTTATATGCAACCCCACAATAACTCACCAAGCATACTATATCTGTCTATAGCACGTTCATGAAAGGTGGCATGTTTATACGCAGGTTCGGTCACTTCCTCAGACTCGGGTCACAGCACCATTAGTCAGGTGACCACCAGCTCAAACGATTGTCACTCCTACCAACCGAGGTGTCCGAGCCCGCCCAGACACCCACCACCTATACCAGGTATGTAGTTACACTCTTTTCTTGCTATTCCCTTTGTTTTTATTTTCATAGGGTTCCTTGTATGCAAGCGTTCGCCTGTTCGGTAGAAATTGTTGTTTGTCGATGGGGTGATAATGTCAAACTGGTACATGTGATATCTCGAATTCTAAGAAACCTGCTTTGTTTCCTTCACGAGCAAGAAAAATTTTTTAAATACATTTTTTGGGTAGAAGTAATTGTTTTGTTGAGATTTTTGTAGGCCGATAACTTTCATCTGGCGAAAAAATCAAAATCATTTTGTACAAGTTCATAGTTATTTATTATGTTCCAATATGAATTCCATACTGAAGAAACAATTCAATTGATTAGAAACTTGTATTTATAAATGTAAAAGTCCCACAATGAAATGTTTTTTTCATTACAGATTTCCATCAAATATCAGATCCGTTATAAAATGGAACAGCTGATCTCATTTGAAAGTGACAAAGCGTACCTACTAATTCAACCTTGAATCCCTTCAAAAATGTATCTAAAAAAAATCTTTCTGACGATGAAAATTAATACTTTAATAATAAAGATAGACAAATTTTGATAACATCAACCTCTTTCAACAGGCAGGTTTTTTCTCTTCAACTATTTTTTGTAAGCAATATTCATGAATTTAGTTGTGCTAGGAATCGCACTTTGAACGATAAGATCTCGTTAATCCTTAGTTCGCACGAGTTCAGGCTTTTGAGGGTTGTCATTCATAGGGAGCGACATAGGGGGTTAACGGAAAAACAAATTTTCAACAGTTTTCCGGTGAGATCACTCCTTAACGAAATATTTGTCTGAATCGTTTAACATAACTCAAAAAGCTGACATACAATAGTCATGTATGTAATTTGAAAACAAATCTGCCATCAGGTTGAATAGTTAAAACTTTCTACTTCTCAATCTTTATACAAAAAAATGGGAATCTTCCAAAAGGAGGAAGGAATCAATCAATCTCAAAAACGTAACTCTATACAAAGATCTGTGGATTATGATAGAAGTTAGTTTCATATACAAACTGGAAGAAAAAGCCCTCTCTAAACAACTACTTTCATGTGAATATTGAATTATACGAAAATCACTTTTTCCTATTTACTTTGTACCTCAAACATTCGTTATGAATATAAAATACAAACGGGAAAATTTCTCATTTCCATGTGGCGTATCAAGTAATACTACTCTTTCTTCTCTACATTGTTGACGTGGACAGAAGTATTTCGCCTGGTGTGATTCTGCTTGTTTCTCAGATTAATTGTGAAGAATGCTGTAGTCAATTACCGAAAGCTTAATCACTTTCGTATACTCGAAAATGTTGATTTTGGTATTTGAACTTTTTCTTTTGCATTGAGTATGTTTATTGAATAACTTGTTAGCGCGAGTCCCTTATTTTCATAAAGTAATTTAGTAACTTCAAATCTACTCATCGCAAAAGAAAACTGGAGAATTGCCTTGAATTAGATAAATCATGTTTAAATAATCATTTGAAAGCTGATACATATAAAATTTGGTTTGACGATCACAATAAACTTATTATTCAACTGGGAATCTGCTTTTTATGACCTGCTTTTGGGGGTTCCATTAGATTGAAAGAGTGAGAATGTATCGTTTGTGTATGGTTGTTGAATTTTGCCTATGTCTTGTTTGTCTATTATGGTGTTACATTAGTCTGTCATTGGTGCTAGGCTGGTTTTCCAATGGTACTGGTGCTATGCCTCCTTGCCCTCAAGCTGTGGCCGTTTTACCCCCTTTACCCCATGCTTTGCGTAATGCCAGTGGTAAGTTCAGTAGAAAGTATTTTGTTGTTGGCACTGTAGATTGCTTCAGTTTTCCGATTGGTGGTGTTTGTTGCCTGTTTTTCATTGGTATCATTAACATCAATACATTCTGCTGTATTTCATATCTCATAAAATTATTTGCTATATATCACACGTATTACAAATTATATTGATGGTAGTTACATCAATATAATTTGCATATGAATTACATATATTCGCCTTTTTATGTCATTAATTCATGGATTTTTTCCAATAATTACTTCTGGTATAAACAATGTGACATTATTGCATAAGATAAATTAGATCTAGAAACGAAGTGTTATGAAAAATTCATCATAATTTTTATAGAGAATATATCAGATAGATAACACTTGAGTAAATTTATTGGAAAACTAATTATTAGTAAAATTCACTAATAATTTTTACAAAACTAATTTGTTTTTGATTATCACAGGTCTGCGATGAAAAAATTGTAGGATATTTAACTAGTGATTTTAACAGTATTTTGTGTGTAGATTACGGAAAAAATAGTAAAAAAATTCTATCATCTATAGGTAAGTCACAAATTTCATCTGAAATTTTCCTAATAAATGGGTTTTTAGGTTCGTTATGGGTTCGATATTTCTGTATTAAATAGCCTATATAAGCGGTAAATTGAGTCTGAATTATGGGGGCTGTTATTTTTGTTTTTGTTCAGTGCAAGGTTTCAATTTAAAAAACAGAAAGGATATTTTATACCACACCAACATACGTTCAGCTGTTCCTCATGGACCTAACTTGCCTATTCCTTCACCTCCAGATGCCTTTTGGACAACATTTTAGACGATTTAGCCGCAAAAACACATAGTAGCAGTAGCGACAGTGATGACAGCTACGATTCAGGTACTAATGACCCTGAACTTTTCTCTCAATCAGACTTGAACGATCTAGTATAAGACCTGTTTTCTGCAACAATGTACCTGACATTATGGAAATGTTCAACATAACATATGAACCAGAGAAATGGAGACTTTTCATCGATTCATCAAAAAGAAGTTTGAAAGCTGTACTTCTTCACAATGGGAACCAATATACTTCTGTGCCTGTTGGACACTTCATTTAAAAGAATGCTACGAAAATCTTGAATTTGTTCTTAATAAGCTCAGCTACTCTGATCATAAGTGGACCATTTATGGAGACTTGAAAGTTGTTTTAATGTTACTAGGTCAACAAAGTGGTTACACTAAGTTTCCATGTTTCCTATGTGAATGGGATAGCCATGACAGGAAACAACACTATGTCAATGTTGAAAAACAAAGTTTAGTGTATCCTAAAAAAATCTTACTTCCACCATTCCATATCAAATTGGAGCTAATGAAACAGTTTGTGCATTAGACAAAGAAGGGGATTGTTTAAAGTATCTTTCTGAAAAGTTTCCTGGTCTATCTAAAACACTTATGTATCACTATTATGCTTAGTTTAGCATTGTATTTTTTGCTTTTACTTCATGTTAAAACAATAAAAATAAATCCACAATTCCTCGTTTTTTTGTACTTTTCAATTATTTCATCCTTATTTTGTAAGCAAACCTTACGTGATAGATAAAAACAAATGTCATTTTTGAAATCAGTGCAAAAAACTATATAAAGATCAGTTAACGAAATCGAAACAATTTTTTTAAGTTTTTATGCAGACCTGTGTTATCAGTAATCCTCATTTTCCATTATCATTTCAATCATATTCTCATTCAATGAAATTTCATCCACACTCTAATCGTTCATTGAATTTGTGTTTATAACTGGATTTTTGTATTGTACAAAATCTGTGTTATAGTAATTAATATTGTAATTAGGTTGTTTCAAAAGTTTTGTCCGTTTTACTTTGAACTGTAGAATCTCAATGAATACTCATTCAACTTATTCGAAATAAGCGCCATATGAATCAAATGTCGATAAATTACGTCAGCATAAAAATGTTGTGCTTGGGATTCGATGAAGTTGACGAAGACCGGCTTTGCCTGGTCTCGATTGGTAAAAGTTCTACCGGTGACAAAGTTATCAAAGTTTTTGAGACGATGGTAGTCGGTTGGCCAGAGGTCTGGGGAGTACGGTGGGTGAATCAGAACTTCGATGCTGAATTCGTAAAATTTTTTGGACGGTGATTTGTGAATCGTGCGGACGTTGTTGTTGTGTGCAGCAGGACCGGTCCTTTTCTATTGACCAGTGTTACTGACGCAATTTTCGGTACATTTCGTCGATTTCCTTACAATATGATTCTGCTGTGATGGTTGGGCTGGTTGTAGAAATTAATAGCCTCTGACCCCCATACAGTAACCAAGGACTCTTTTTGGTGGGTTTTTGCCTTTGGGCATAGAGGATTCACTTTTCATCATACGTGACGATTCGATCCAAGAAAGGATTGTTTTGGTTGCGCAAAAGCAAAGAACAGACCTAGAAATGTGACAATATATTTTGAACCATCAAAAACCACATAGAAGTTGACGCTCAGTTTTTCCGCCATCTGACGCATCGTTTGTGATGGGTCAGTCTCCACTAGGTTTCTCAAATCCTCGTGTTGGAGTACTGTAGATCGACCATTTCGGGGCTCATCTTCTAAGCTAAAATCTCCAGAACGAAATTTCGTAAACCGATGTCGAACAGTGCATTCATTGAGACTATCATTGCCAAATACCTGGTTAATTTTTAAGGCTGTTTCGACAATGCTTTGGATCAAACACATGACAAAACTTTTGAAATAACCCAATAATAATGGTATTTTATTTTCCATTTGTTGAGCTTGTAACTTTTGACAGTGAAAAATTCATAGTGACATTCAATCAATTAACACTGCTTCATAAATAAATTCCATTGTTTATCAGAAAGAAATAAAATATCTAATAGTTAAATAATCAAAAAACTTTTTTTCATTGAATTTTAATTTAATTCTTTTCAATTTCAAAAAAAATATTAATTGAAAGTTAAAATTTTCAATTAAACAAATTCTTATGACATTCCTGTAACTTCAGAATCTGGTCTTATTATCGAAAATGTCTTGTTTCTATCAAATAACCGAGTCTATCTTTTAGTAGACACTATTCTTTTAATATGAGTTTACACTGTGTGTTTCATTAGAAAATACTGTTTTTTTTTGTTAAATTATCCATTCAATAGCAAATACAGTTTTTCTAGTTTTGAATTAGTTTGCCTGTACTTAGAAATGCATTTGAGAGCACTTCCGTCTGATCACATGATTTTGTAAAAAAAAAACGAATTAATAGAGTTTATTGTATGCTTTTCATTATAAAGGGTTTTACAAAATCCGCGACACGTGTTTCGCTATACAATAGCTTTCTCAAGCATAAACACAAGCAGTTTATGCTCGAGAAAGCTATTTTATAGCGAAACAGGGGTCGAGGTTTTTGTAAAACAATTAAACTGTATTAATTAGTTTTTTAATGTGGATTTTCATCAAGTATCGGCTAGTTCTATTCAACATGATTTTGTATCAAGAAATACTCATTAATTCATAATGTTGTATGCAGTTTGCATAATAAATCGAAAATGTTCTTATTATTTCATATTAAATGGTGGTTGGTTAGATTCCTGGAAACGTAATAACTAAAAAAAATAGAAGTACAATATAACAGAGAGCTGTTCCAAATGGTCTTTGAATGGAATGAAGAAATATCAACATAAATTTTCTATAGTCTCCTATTGTTTCTCAGGTCCCGGTAGAAGACAACCACCTGCTTACAGCGTTGCAGCTCAAATGGCGCGATTGCATAGGTTAGGTAGAGCACATTCACACGAGGGTGTTACGCAAGGTTACCATTATCATACTGATCCCGATACAGATCAGGGTAAGTAAATTTTCATCTAAGTGATATCAATATATGTTTGGTATTGGACACTAACTAACTGACAATGACTTCTAAGAAAAAATATCCCACTGAGAAAATTTTGTACATTAAAAAAATGTCACTACGAGGGTTGCCTTTTATATTTCGGGATTAGAGAACAAAAACAAGTATTGATAATCGAAAATCCCTTTATTGTTTTACAAAATATTTCCCATGAAGATCTATACACTTTTGTATGCGTTTGAACCAATTGTCGAAGCACTTTTGCCACTCTGATTGAGGAGGTATCTCCAAAACATGCATTCTGAACGCAGCAACCGCTTCTTCAGGTGTCGAAAAACGTTGACCTCTCAGTTTTTTTTTTATTTAAAAGGAAAAGCACCGCATCAACCTCTAGGGTTATTAGCGGTTACAGTAGGTACATTAAATTTTGTTAGAGATGCCAACATTTTCCAAAAAACTATAAAGGGAAGTAAAGTTCGTAACATCCAATGCATTGGTGAGGTCGCTTGGTAATCCGAAAAATTGTCTTTCTTCATTGAAAGCTGGGCAATCAGAGATGAAATGTTCTACACTCATCGTCACACTGCAGGTATCACAAATGCGAGGCTCTTCATGCTTTAGGAGATGTAGATGGGTAAATTTCGTATGTCCAATTCTCAGGCGTGTAAGTAAAACTTGCTGTCTGCGGGTGAGAGCTCGGTAATTTTGAGTGACTAGATTCGGATTAATGGCTCTGAGTTTATTATTATATAGGGATTGCCACCTTTGCCTCCATCTGTCGCATATGAGCCCTTTGATTTGGAGATAAACGTCTTGATAAGGCACTCGTTGGATCTCTCGACAGTTGGGGTAAACCTCTCAGTTTGTTTTTTACGCGCGGGAATCAAAAAAAGTCAATCGATGCCAAGTCAGGACTATACGGCTGATGACTCATCAAAATGATGTTTTGGGTGCTCAAAAATGCAGACGTTTGAGTCGATGTGTGAGAGCTCGCATTGTCGTAGTGAAGAGTGATCCGTCTTCGGCGGTTGGTTTTCCTGATTTCTTGGAAGACAACTGACAAACAAATGGTTGTGTACCACTCAGAATTGACTGTTCTGCGTTGTTCTAGTGGTACGGTTGCGACATGTCCAGTTTTTTTAAAAAACAGGCAACCATTTGCTTGGAAGTGCTTCGTGCGTGAACAACTTTTGTTGCTGTTTACTTTCTGGCTCATACGCTTATATCCACGATTCCTCACCTGTCACGATGTCATAGACGTGTTTCGAAGCACCGTGATCGTATTTTTTTGAGCATTTCCTTCGACCAATCGACACTAACCTTTTTTTGAGCGATTGACAAATTGTGTGAGATCAAACGGGAACAAATTTTTCTGGCAGTCAAATGTTTATGCAATATTGAATGTATGCTGGTCCCACCAATGCCTAAGGTTGTCCCAATCTCACGATAGGTCACATGACGATCTTGCAATATCAGTTGGCGCACAGCATTAATGCTTCTTGGAACAACAACTGATTTTGGACGACTTTCACGAAATTCGTCTTGGGTGAACTACGACCACGATTGATTTCACCATACCATCGATAAACACTGGTCCTTGATGGAGTTCCATTGCCAAAAATTGAATTAAGTTCATCCATGCACTGTTGCTGAGTTAATCTACGTTGAAAGTTGTAAAAAATAATCGCAAGAAAATGTTCACGATTTAATTCCATTTTTGATCCAAGATGAATCTTTTAGGTTACTGTAAACTGTCCAAAAATGTCCAACTTTACGATAGAGCTGTCAGTTGCCAGATTGCAACATTAACATTTCCAAATCACGAAACATAAAAGGCAACCCTCGTATAGAATGATTTTTTTTTTCAACAAAATATACATCAGTTATCATAATTTCCAGTCAGAAATGAACAAACGTATGTTTAGTTCTATTTCAGATGAGTTACAAAAAAGGTTGTAAAAGTCAGAAACATCCATATTTTTTCTTAGTACAGTGTAACATAGCAAATTAACATTGTAGACAGACGTAACTAAACAAGGGATTTTTCATAAAAGGACCAATTTACTAGTAATAATGTTTAATTTGTTATTCAGGTGAAGACTTATCTGACTCTTCATGTGAATCAGACACGGTCATTATAATGGTCTGACTACATTGGTTACTCATTGACATAGACAACTAAAACTGACAAGTACAAATAGTTAAGAATTCATTGTATAGTATATAGTAGTAACATTTGTTTTTTTTTATTTTTGTACAGATGACGAAGAGACCCAAGTCTCGGCAGTGTGAATAGATTTCTAACATTAGCCGGTGATTTGAATGTTGAAAGTATTTATTGATGTATTTGCATATCATCCCAGAACTAATACTCATGAATCTGTGTCGTATACTGTAAGTCTAAGGAGTTGTGCAAAAATTTTAGGGTACTGAGGCAAAGGCATCATCATCGCCACATTCATTTTGATCCTTACCTAGGAGTTTTGACGATAATGTTTTTACCTCTGTGATGAGTACCTGATTATGATTTAGAGTGAAATAAGGCCAATTTTGTTCACTTAAGAGTTTTATTTATAATAGCAAGATATATTTTACCACATACAAATTGTAAATAAAAATGACTTGATCTTACTTATTTTCTCAATTCACCCACATTTCTCAATTTCGTATGATGTCATCCAGAATTATAGTAAAACTCAAAAATTATATGTCGTGTAGTAAACAGTTGATGACAAACAGTCTGTAATGACAAGAATATTTTTGGGAACGAAATATATTCAATCGAACTATTTTATTTTGAGCTATAGATTCTAATTATGAATAGTGAATAATTGGTTTATCGTACAGAACAAACTCTTATTTTTGGATGACATCAGGAGTATGTATGTATGTCTATTACCACACATTCCACCTTTATATAGATAACCTCAATAAAGGTTATTATATACATCTTGTAGTGAACTGTTTTATGAGAATCTGACAATTCTTATATAACTTATATATTAACCTTATAGCAATATGTGTTAGCTTTTTCTGCACATTAAAATTTTTTCTTTCGATGAAATAAACTAGACTGAATTTGATTTAACAATGCTTTCTTGGGTAAAGTGATTTACTTTACGGAATTAATAATTTCTTGGGAAAGAAATAGTTGGCTTTCTACTTCTCCACCTTTATATAATAAAACGTGGGAAACTTCCAGTCGAAGGAAGAAAGGAATAAATTTCAAAATAAATTCTTGACAAACATGTATTGATCATGCAAAGAAGTGACATTTCGAAATAACTACTTTTATATGAATTATTGAATTATACAAAAAACCCCTTTTTCCTATTCGTTTTGTACTCCAAACTCTTGTAATGGAATTGGATCAGGAATCATTCACGGGATTGCTACACAATACAGTAAATGAAAGAGGTAAAATTTCACTTACATGAAACACTGTCATTCACTGGCGGACAACCAATGTTTCCGAATAAGTCCTGATTGCTTCTTCGGCACCAAACTGGATAAGATTACGAAATGAAACACTCAATTCAATGATTGAAGTACGACTCATGTCATAGATGCAGTATGTAATGACATTAATTCGGTTATTTGATTTATTCCCAGCCATAGGAATCTATTCAAATTGAAATTTTTTGGGAAAGAAAGGTTTTGGCAGATGTAGGAAGCCAAAACTTTTTTTTCCCATGAACTTTCCTTTGTTCTCTACTTTTNTGAAATACTCTGAAAGAATTCCGATTTTCAATTGTGGAATATCATTGACTTTAGGTCGATGATGGTCACTATCTTGCACTGATGAGTGGCTAATAAGCCCGAAACCGGTCTGCAAGTGTGCCCGTTCCAAAATTGAAGGTCGACTCTTTCAGTTGTATTGCCAGTTGCATATGCAGGAAATTTTCTGTGAAGATTCCTGCACTGACGCCTGTCGGGTATAATCCAACACCGTTCGTGGTATTAGCCAGTGGAGTAGTTGTGTTCTGATAGGCGTCAGTCCATTCAATCTACTGTGTAGGTATATCCGAAACGGGCTTGAACATTTAAAGTTCATTTCTTTAGCCTGTCTTCAAGCATAGTCCACTGACTAATAAGAAAACCCAAAACAATAGACATAACCTATGTTTCATATTTAGTTATTCAGCTGTTTATTGTTTGAGTAGTGCCATTATCGGTAAAGTCTTTCAGGATTAAGTAATGTAGTTGACGGATTGTACAATCATTTTTTAAATATTACTTCAAAATTATTGTCAGGAATCCTATTCAATTATTCTCGAAGAACATTTCGTTACCTCATTTCATACTTGGTACGCTATGCCTTCAAAAGTGTATCTAGTAAAATAACCAACATACTCAACTTTTGGAAGGCAACACTACATCTTATATTGTTTGAGTAAAATCTGCCGTTCTTACATGAATTACCCTCCAGAAGATTTGCTGAATTTGATTATAAAAACGTACATTTGGATTTTTATAATTACTAAGAAATGTCAGTATTTCACTCACAAAAATGTTACTGAATTGAATGTTGATTGAAAATGTAGTTATCATCTAAGGATCAATATTCCTGACGAACGAAGAGCAAAGGCCCAATAGGTAAGACAAATTAGTAATTAAAAATACTTCGTAGCAATTAACAAAAAATTCAAATTCTAAATAGGATTCCTTCTGCCTGTTGTAATAATTTTATAATTTTGATAACATAAATATATTAAAAAATATTACTGGAGTTTTTTCCCAACACCNCGACTTTGTGTCGCGGGCGACTGTTTTGTCGTGGTTTTGTCCGTTTGGTGGAAATCCGCCTTTAGGAAGAGTTATCTGTATCTGCAGAGTAGGAAGGGTGAGTGTGGGACCCACAACACTTAGGCTACATGTGACCCATTGTACATCTTCCCGAAAAGTTGTCCTCCTAGGTCATTGTCCATCATGTCCTTTCCAGGGAGGTGGACAGGTCACTTGGAAACATATCCTTTATATCGGCAGGTGTAGGACAAGACTCGCCGAACACACACTCTCTTTGATAACCTTGAAGTGTATCACGGTGGCCTTCGCGAAGGTTTCGGAAGGTTCAGCGATATTACTGTCGTTGCGCGGCTTCTTCAACCTTCTTGGGGTTCCCTCCGTGGCAGCGCACAAGTGAGGGAGCTTTCCTGCAGGGGCAGTCGGTTCCTTGCCTTTATTCAAGGCGGAGCTCTTGCCGCTCACCGCAGGTAGTGCTCTTGCTGTCGGAGGTGGGGTGGGGGAGGGTAAGGGTGCACTTATAGTTGCTGCCACTCCTACTTCCTTTGCTCTCTTTCTCCTTTTGGCCTCTGCGCCGCAAATGCGCTTACGCCTTGGCCTTTATATTACATCACGATGTGATGTAGGAAGAGTTATTCAAAGGAACCCAACATTGGAGAGAAGTATCCAAACTTTTTTTAAGGGCAAATCACAAGCACTACAGGAAAATCCTCAAGGCGATCTCAGAGCGGTGCCTGCGCGAAAGTAGCGAATCACATTAGATTTGAATCGCTGGAGATCAAATCTATCTGGAAAAACGTTCTCAGGAAGTTTATTCCACATAAACGCAGTTCTCCACATGAACGAGTTCTTGAACAGTGGAGTTCGAGGTATACTGAGTTGAACCTCAAAACGATGAGCAGCCACAGTCAGTCGCGTATTTCTGATGTACCGCTATTGGTGGAATCAGATGTGCCAAGCCACTAGAACACCTCCCGTGAAAGTAGCTATAGAAGAAAAACAAATCCCCAATATTTCTTCGATGTTCCAGACTATCAAGGTTGCAAGATATTTTCGCGTCTCCAGCCGGGCGGATGGCTCTTTTCTGGATGGAATCCAGCAATTTCAAGGTATGTTTGGAGGCAGAGCTCCATACATGAGAACAATACTCCAAAGGAGGTCTGATCTGAGCTTTATAAAGCATTAACATCCCTTCCACTTAAATTGTGACTATTTCGTGATTGGCATTGTAGTGTAGAAGTTACGTTATTAATGTTTGATTTCAATTACACTACGACTGAGTAATAGTGTAACAATAACATATTTGAATAAATAACACAAGAAAATATAATATTTTACTTTTTTGCAACGCAACACATATTTCTATAGCTAGATCTAATCTTCACATTTTTTGTCGAGTTTTGGGAATGGGATTATGGTAGAAATGGCTTTGCAAGGGGGTCTAACGGAACCAGAAAAAATAAAAAAGTTTGGGAACCTCTGATCTAAAACGATCATGCCATTAAAAATGTATTCAATTATTTTCTATTATTTTCGTATTGCTATATTTCGATATCATATTCTTTGGATTTCTCATCATTTCAAGTTTCAATTCTGTTAATTTTATAAATTGAACTAACCTCTATTCAGCAATACCTAAGTATTACCAACCATATTCAAATTATTGAACTTTCATTTCTTCTCAGCTTTACGGACCTCAGACACTTCTGTAATTACCCAAAATAGCAGTGACAAGACATTTATAGAAAATAATGTTTACAAGTCGCACGTGTGTTTTTACAGAAACGTGCGTGTGGTAAAACATGAAAATGAAAGTTATTAATAGTTCTCTTATTCATGGTGAGTTTTGGCATTTCATTCTGAATGAACAAAATATGCGTGGGATTTTGAGTAGCTTACAACGAATTACTGAAATTCTTCAAGAGTTACAATCATAATTAGTTATTTTCATATTATTTTTTTTAATTTCGCCTTTAACGTTTTCAAAATGAGCAGTTTTGCTAATCACCAGTATTCGATACATCTTCTTTAATTGNCTTTAACTATGCACAATACCGGTTACTTCGACTGACTATACCCTTTTTGACATTTAAAAATTTTGTTATTCAGCTTGTAGGATCGCCAAAAAAAGATCGACTTATGATTTCTGAGGATCGATACATTTTTGTATGTAGGTACTGGATATAGATAAATATCTAGTTGGAATGAACTCTTTGTTTTTGAATTGAAATAGGTTACAATGGGTTTTTCCGTTAAGTAGTTAGTTGGCGTCCCCATACAAACGACAATCGTCAATAGTCTAAACTTGTGCGAACTCAGGATTAACGAGGTCTTACCTTATAACTTTCTAGTAGGTATCAGACTATTGCAATCTATCGTGAACGTATTAGGAATTAGTGTGTCAGTGATGTTTTTATTAAATTTACGTTGAATCTTACAGTCAATGACTTTTTTGGATTTTTTACGTGCCCTCTTACTCACGAGAGGCTGAAAACCTCAACCCAAAAACTAATACGCTTCAGGACACAAGACAGCACCGATTAACCTTGACAGTCAAAAGATATATTTGGGCCTAATCGACCCACGCATACAAATCTCAGATATTTTGACGATAGAGGCCTAATTAGTTTATTTATAAAACAATAAGTGCACATGCAAGATACGTATGCATGCACCCATACTTAGTAAAAAGAGGGGGGTAGCGTTTTTACGATTACAATAGAGATTATCAGTAGCGTACGTAACATTTTGTTTAGGGTACTTGAACAAAGTGCAACAATTGAATAGAACTGGCCGATACTTGATGAAAATCCATATTGAAAAAGTAATTAATACATTTTATTGTATGATTTTCACTATAAAGGGTTTTACAAAAACTGCGACACTTGTTTTGCTGTACAATAGCTTCCTCTACTACTATAAACTGAGAGTTACTTCTAAATTACAACCATTTTATACTCTATTACCTATTACCTACTCGTCTGCCTAAATAATTAATCTACCTGTAGAGGTCAGATATGAATTCATTAACTGTATCACTGAATTTTCCGAAAGTATACCTAACTACTTTTGTCTGCAAATGAACAGATTCAATAATGGCGAATTATTCAATTCAGTTTGATCGTTCATAAGATGTTGAAAGTTTCTGAATTTATTTATTTCCATACTCTCCAACAGGTTAAGTTTCAAACCTTTCTTCTGGAAATGGTTGAGCATGGTTGAGCTTATGTCCCTCTGATATTAAATTAATGGCATATGTGGAATATATTTTTTTCATTCTGGAAACTATATTTGTGTTCCTTTATGCGGGCTTTGAACGCTCTTCCAGTTTGATCTATATAAAACATGACCCACACGATAATTTATACACTCCTGTTTTTTCTGAAACTGAACTTTCATCTTTGTTATTCTTAATGTGCATGCCTAAGTTGTTGGTTTTGAAAGCGGTATTTACACCTTTGCTGTGCAGAAAATCTGAAATATTTGTAGTTCGATGGCCTAAGTAGGTTAAGGTTCTATAACTTGTATCCTCTTCCCTTTGAATTGGGTAAACTTCTTTCAAAGCTTGACTGTATAACTTTATTGATAATAAAGAATGTATTAGACCGCTATGGTAATCAATGTTGACGGCTATTTGCTTTATTACCTATATTCAGTTCTTTATTGACATTCGCCTCTGACAAGGGCACATTTCTCAGTCTAAGGATTATGCTGTTGAAAGCTGCTACCTTATGCTGATATGGGTGAGTGGACGAATTATGAATGATAATATATGTATGTGCCTGTTTACGGTAAATTGGAAAATCATGTTTGTTGTTAACTTTTATTATTGTCAAGTCCAAAAAATTTATAGAGTCGTCCTGTTCCATCTCCATTGTGAATGTGATAGAACGGTTGAGAGAATTGATGAACTTCAGAAAGTTAGTCAACTGTCTGTTCGTTCCTGTGAAACATACCAATACACGAAACTTCTTACCAGTGGGTTACTGTGTTTCATTGAATTGGAAGTAATTCTGTGACAAACACACCGTAAGCAAGTTTAATATTTCATTTTTCACTACCGGATTTATAGAGTTTTCGTCCAATAGATTCTCCACCAGAGTAATCGTTTCATTCGGGGGAATACTGAGAAACAGATTCTTTACATCGAATGAAATCAATTTGGCATTATCCGGGAGTGTAATATCTTGAATTTCATTGATCAAATGGTATGAATTCCTCAAACTGAATTTTGATTTGAAATTGGTGTGGTTTTGAATAATTGCAATGAGTTTTTCGGATATTTTAACTGAAGGAGGTGTGACGAAAGAAACTACCGGTCTTATCGGGTAGTTATCTTTTTGTAATTTAATCAACAAATGCAATTTAGGTGTTAGGTGGTTGTGAGTTCATGACTAACGATCGGGTAAAGGGTAACACCCTTTATAGTGAAAATCATACAATAAACTGTATTAATCACTTTTTTTTTAATCACTTTTTTTTTCAAAGTGCAACAGCTTGATCTACGACTTTCATTTCTCCAATCAGAACTTTCCGACATTTTAGAAAGAACACAAATGGGTCTTAATTTGTAAGATTAATACTGTGAACAAGGCAGTTCAAATTGACCTTTTGAGAAAGTTTTTGGGGCATTTACATTTTTGTCCAAAACAAGCAGTTTTTCCAATCACCAGAAATGCAAAACTCTTCTCGCCACCAAGGTGGCGTCTTCAGTAGACGAAGACATTTATTTTTCGTCATTAAATCGGATATTCTCCCGAATATCCCAAGAGTATTTCTTATAGCTTGACATCCAATAATTACATATTCTGTTTCTGGCGACTTCTAAGTCATGCAGTGGTGCAAGGACTTGAGATTTACCATAGAAAGAAATCTATATCGATTTGATCGGGTGATCTAGGTGGCTACGACTTTAGGCCTCCCCAACTTATCCACCCATATGAGGGAAAATTTGATGTATATAAAAATTACAATACTCCGACTGAAACAAGTTGTTACACAATCGTGTATTAGACACATTTCATTTCTAAAAATTAGTAGAATATTCTCAAGCAAAAGAGGCAATTTTTTCTGTAAAAACTACTGAAGATATGTGTGACCGCCTAAAAAAAGGGGGACAATCAAATCCGGATGATGCTAACTTGGTGAACGAAATGCTCATAAACAGACACTTTTTTGTCCTGGTATGAGGAAAATGTTTTTTCAAAGATTGATAGAATCACTATCACATTTATACCCTGCATTGTTTTTATTATTCCAAAAAACATTCAATGTTTATGAATAGGGACTACCTGAATAAATAAAGATACAAATTTAGTAAAATAATGAAATGCTGAACAAGAAAACACAAGTAATTATTATGAGCAGTGAACATTCGGTTTGTTAATAGGCCTCAAAAACTATTTTTTTCAATCATTAATAATTGAATGAGAAAACACGAGTAGAATAATCAATATGGGCAAATAGTCAAAAGTGAAATCATTCATATTTAATGTAAAACTATTTAGATGATTCTGGCTATATGTATTTTTGATTTAATTCTCCAAATACATTTTCAATTGATTTTTGAAAATATCTTCTATAAATTATCTGCGAGCGCTTTCGACAGTTGGTAGTACTGTCATCTTCTAGGCACCCTTCAAACTGACTGACAAACAGTTTAGACCTGACCTAACCTAACTTATATCATCATGAACTTTGTCGATGTATCCAAAGAATAAATTTGTTAAAGAGTTAATGTATATTGTGAAAAGGAGTTTAATACTTAATGTGAATGATAAAAATTTTTGGAATTAAGCAATTATTTTTTCTAATATTGAAGAAGGTCAAAACTAGTTTTTTCCAAAAATTTATCACTTCAAAGTATACTTTTTCCATATGAGCACCATTGATTTCTTTTCAGGGTATTCCGAAAGAAATTCGTCAATTTAAAGTTTCTCAAAATTTGTGTGGATTGTGTTTTTCGCAACAAATTTCTTACTCTGTTAATTAGAAAGTTATCGCCCGAATACGATTGTGGATACTAACAATCGAAACGTAACGTAACGTAACTTGGTTTGGAATGTCCTAATTTTTTTAATTTTAATTTCTTGTTAATAATTTTCTCTCGTGTTAATACTGTCATTTTTTTGTTTTTGACTTTCTGGTTGTTGTTTGTACTTTATATCATTGTAATTTCAGTTTTTTGCTTAATATAATTGTTATATTTTTCAGCTAATCTCTTTTTTAATTTTTCAAATATAGAAAGTAAATGAAACAAATTTCAAAATACCTATTTTCAAACCCTCCTCAAGCGAGCGCCACTGTACCTCCGTAACAGTGTGTCGAAAATTCTTTCTCACCATCACTGTGCTGCCTTATATGGGCGACGCAAACTCGTATGCGTCCAAGTCACCCTCTACCCATAAATGGACGCTAGTGCGTTATTTTTAAGCCGTCGAACCGTTCCTTATAAAAACGCCGCGACGCGTCATTCCCACACTCGCATCTTCAATCGCTCAGCGTCGAGTCCTTGCTGTATTTCAGAGGTTGGTATTTCGTGTAGTGTCACTAGTGTCAGTGATCGTTATTTGTTTTGAGGATGGGTGTCCCGCAATTGTGGCGGGCAGTTTATCATTCGTAGTGCTGCATCAATCATGCAAAATACAATTTTGATATTACCATAAGGTGTTGTGACAGTTGAAGGGTGTTTTCGATGGTGAAAAAAATATTTTAGTGCAGAGTATACTGGAGCTTTTTAAAAAGGTTTCACTTGTAATAAAGGTCTTGAAATTAGGATTGATATCTAATGTTTTTTAAAGAGTGGTATATAGTTAACTATTTTTTCATATTCCAATTCTTATAGATCTAATCTCGATTGACAATGCTTATAAGATATTTCTCCTTGTTCACAAACTTCAACTTCTAAATTATACCTAATACTCTACACTCACCGCCAATATTTCTGGCTCTCCAATCATGCGATAAAAATTAGTTGTTTCATAAATTATAGAAGTTAAATTCTACATTCAAATGAAAAATTCTTCACACATGAAGTCTGATTAAAAAAACTTGTGTAGTAGGATGGGACCTACTTGTATAAAAATATAATTGGATCTATGACTCTCATAATAAATTTCTAATAATAAAACATGTCTTAGCCCATACCTTTTATGTTTCAGATGAATTTAGAAAACTGTTTTGACATTTTTACTAATTGCTAGGAATCTAAAAGGAACGGACACGTTAATCCGTAACTGTCACAAATTCCAACTTTATGAGGATTGTTGTTCGTATTAGGGAGGCAGATAGTTGACTGAAAAACAGATTTTAATTTTTATTCGATAATCCGAACACAAAACACTTGTTACTGAACTTTCTCTTATATTTATCAAAGTCCTAGGATACATTTCCTAATTTACATATTCCAAAGAAAAACGAACCATTAACGTTTGGTTTATCGAGACAAGAATAACTGCTATAAAAATATATACCTTTATAATTAGATCTTGAAAAGAACTTTCACAATCGATTTCTAATAATAAAGCAATCGTTCTCCCATACCATATATGTAGTCGCAAAAATGGACTAGCAGAATGGAGTAACTGAGAGGAATGAAGTTTATAACAAGAAGTTAAAAAAGTTGAAGAGAACTTAGTTTCACGAGATTGTTTTTTTATTTTGAATATATGAACAATAATAATACAACTGTCAAATCGTTGTGGATGCGCTTATGTTTCAGGCTCTGTCTTTATTTGAAATGTGTCATTTTTTTTTAAATAAGAAAAGTTACTCTAGTATTGTGAAGGAGGTGTTTTACAAATCTTGACATTTTTTCGTTTAGTTGAATTATTCATATATCATAAGCATTTCAGTCAATGCTTCTGATATGTGATACCAAAACAACCGAAGCCATAATAAGCAATAATAATAATAATACAGTTCCAATTTCTTCTAGGAAATTAAATCAAGAATGAAGCATAGAATAAATACATTTTGTTTTAAACGAATCATACCCATAGCATCAAAAGTAGAGACACTATAAATAGATGTTTTCAATTGGGCTGACGATTTCGGTTGTAATTGAATAATATGAAAGTATTAAAGATTGGAAAATATAAGACTCAAAGATGTGGGTTTCTTTCAAGAATTTGAAAACTGCTGTTCACATATCTAGTATTTTCATTTCAGTTTCAAAATTATTTTTATTATCATCCTCTTGAGAACTTCAGTCAAAAATCCGAATGAAAAAAACCTCTGTTCGTGTTCTACACATTTTTGTTGAGAGTTGTATCGATATATTTAATTACTTTCTCTATGTTTTCGAAAGTTTTTCTTTTTCTGTATAATAACAGAAAAATGAAAGCCAAAAGTACAAAGCAAAGAGGCTTTTTTCCAGAAAAAATCGAAATAACTAAGAGTAACTTGAGACTAAACGCAGAAAGATGAGCTCCCGAAGAGCACCCCATCCTGCTCACCGAAGCCCCCCTCAACCCCAAAGCTAACCGCGAGAAGATGACCCAGATCATGTTCGAGACCTTCAACACCCCCGCCATGTATGTCGCAATCCAAGCTGTACTCTCCCTGTACGCCTCCGGTCGTACCACCGGTATCGTCTTGGACTCTGGAGATGGTGTTTCTCACACAGTACCCATTTACGAAGGTTATGCCCTTCCCCACGCCATCCTCCGTTTGGACTTGGCTGGTCGTGACTTGACCGACTACCTGATGAAGATCCTCACCGAAAGAGGTTACTCATTCACCACCACCGCTGAAAGGGAAATCGTCCGTGACATCAAGGAGAAGCTCTGCTATGTTGCCCTCGATTTCGAACAAGAAATGGCAACTGCCGCCAATTCCACCTCCTTGGAGAAGAGTTATGAACTTCCCGATGGCCAAGTTATCACCATTGGAAACGAAAGGTTCCGTTGCCCGGAAGCCTTGTTCCAACCTTCCTTCTTGGGTATGGAATCTGTTGGTATCCACGAGACAGTGTACAACTCTATCATGAAGTGCGACGTGGACATCCGTAAGGACCTGTACGCCAATACTGTGCTCTCTGGAGGTACCACCATGTATCCTGGTAAGTGCAACTCGAACAATTATAATAATATGCTTTATTGTCCAAAGAACATACATACATTCAAGTTTATTATCAATTATTACCTCCAGAAATTTAGAACTAGGTCTGTTTTCAATCATCTTATCTGCGTCCTTTCTTGTTAATGGTGTGCTGTCAATAAAACAGCGGAATGATACTGAGTTTGTTTTGGACATATTAAATGACAGCAGATTGGAGTCGCAACAGTTTTTTTTCTTATATCTGAGCTTATAATCTCATGAAGATTACATACATTTTTAATACGCAATAATATTGTGGTTTCATCGGCGAATAGGATAAATTTTCCTCCTACATCGATAGATGTTGAATCGTTTATGTATAACAAGAAAAGTATCGGTCCCAGTATTGAACCTTGTAGTACCCCATCCTTTATTTCATTTTCTGATGATGTCACAATCTAACTTCTTCCTGTGAAATAATTCTCAAACCATTCATGAGTAATTCCACGGATGCCATAGAGGTAAAGTTTTTTCAGCATAATTCCGTGATATACACAGTCAAAGGCTCTAGCAAAGTCTCAGAACACTGCTGCTGATGACTCTTTTTTATTATTATTTCCGTAAACACTGTATAACAATGAAAAGATAGCATCGTGGGTGTTATTTGAGCTATTGCTTATGATATCATTATTAAAAAAAAATTGTCAATCGTATTTCAACTAGTTTCTCTATTATCTTGCCTAGAGTTGGATTGAGACATATAGGGCGGAAGTTTGATGTGCAATGGGACAACTGTAGATTTCTTTAAACAGAAAGGGAATGTAGCGATTTGATCATTGCTTTTATTGAATATTTCCCAAATAGCATATTTTCAAGTTCTAGTTTAATGTAAACATATAATTTGTATTCCGAAAGGGACAATGACATTTTAGAAAGCATAACTGAATATGAAATAGTATGACTTGGATATTCGCCAATAATCGTTTTTGAAAATTTCACGGCTCATTTATTTTACAAATTTTGGGCTGTAGCCAAAAGCTGTCTTGGAACAAGGTCAGATATTTTCAATTCTCACCAACTGATGTAATGATTACCATTCAATTTCGAGGTTAACCTAATTAACTGTAGTATCTTCTTTTCATATCTTCAATCCCTGATTTAACCGGCCGATTTTCATTGGAAAGTTGCCATTTTTACTTCCTAAAGAACTGACAACCGAACTTCAAGTATTAAAATGGCAAAGTACCCTTTGCAACAACTAGATTGATAGTTTTTCATATAGATTTCAATAAAAAAACTTTGTCAAGATCAGTCGATAAATAACAAAATATATTCAAATAAGAAATTGAGGAAACAACAAAATGTGTATAAATCTAATGTTCAAATTGCTGCCATAATTCAATGTCCAGCATGGTATTAGCCGAGGAAGTAGTTGTCGTCCGGCAGGCATTTACCAGAACCTACGGTATACTCATTTTGATTTCTGTAAGAGTACTGATACATGCGATGTTTCTTCCCCGCTTAGTACTTTGTTCACGAGATGGAGCTGTAACTAGTTAACAATCTTTCTCTTACAAAAAGGTTTCATACATGCAGTTGAGCCGCATTGAAATAAATCGAGTCCCGGGCACTCTGCTGTTTGGGTCGGTTCTTTCCCTGGGATTGTCACCTCTCAAAAGTAAAAATCATTCTTACGGGTGATTTTCAAAAGGTATGGGATTTGATTTTCAAAACAACACAAAAAAATTGAAAAAATTGATGAAATCTCCATTGGAATCGATAGAACGATCAATATAATTTAATGTTTGAAGATGACTTTTCGGGGTGCATCGGTAGCTCTTGCGATACTTGTGGCTGGTTTTCACTCCAGATGCGGCAATTTTTCGATAAAATTGTGGATCTTCCTCCAACTTTGCCAGCGCACATTCACCAAATGTTAGACGTTGTGGGAGGTCGTGTGGCTTCAATTCTTGCACCAGCTGTATCTTATAAGATTTTACACCCAAATCCATTCGCAAAATTTTCCACGTAGTGGAGGCCCAATTGCTGCGAACGGCGGCGAATCGACATTTCACGGTCATCACGAACACTGACGGATACAGCCGCAATCTTTTCTTCGGTCCTCACTCTACGTATGCGTGTTGGTGGTTTGATGTCCAACAATGTAATTGTCCACCTTCCAACAGATGTGGATTTCCAAACAGGAGTACGATGAATCCGGCCCTGGAATCGTCCACCGCAAATGTTTCTAAACATTTCACTAATTCTTTCGAACCTGACTGTAAACATTGTTATCATAAACTTATCGATCCTACTTTTGTAGGACACTGCCATAAGACTTGTATACTTGTATTATATTACCTAACTATTAATACTCTATTCATTTTTAGAATTAGGGCAATTGAAATCGCATTGAAAGTTATTTGTTGATACTAAAAAAAATTAAATTTATATGTTGGAGTATGACGATTTCATTTGCATGAGAAAGTGTCCTTCTAGATGTTATATGCATATCTATATGACAAATTTCGATTATGAATAAATTTTTGCTAGTATAAGTAAATTTTTTATTCAATCTATCACTTTTTGGTGTTATGGTAGAGAAAGCAGTGAATATTGCCGACAATTCATTAAACACAATTGCAGCTTTTATCACTTATGAAAATAACAGTATTATTTGCCTGCCCTGGTTGTTTTTTTCTGGGATATTTTTCAAATGGAAAGTAATAAATTCAAAACATTGAGTTAGATTTACAAAGTAAATATAAAGAATTGAACTTTAAATGTTCAAGCCCGTCTCGGATATACCTACGCAGTAGGTTGAATGGACTGACGCCTATCAGAAAACAGAATAGACTGATGCCTATCAGAAAACAACTACTCCACTGGCTAATACCATGAACGGCGTTGGATTATATCCGGTAGGCGTCAGTGCAGGAATCTGCACTGTTTTTATTGCCTGTGTTCAAGTATAGCCCACTGACTAATAAGAAAAATCAAAGTCATAAAAGATGGTGATTATTTTGAGCTCGAGGAAACAGATACCTGACTTCTCTTGTTTTTGATGAGCTCATTGATGTCAGATATCATATTCTTTGTAATTATTTCAAGAATTGATTGGAGATGTTCATTCGTAAGTCTTGTGTGACGTTTGTTCTTATTTATTCTTATTTATTGTTCTTATTTATTTTCATGACATGCAAAGAAAGCGTGCTGCGTGCGTTTTAAATCCCAGGTAGCTATTCAAACTCTTCAATTATTGTATATAAAATATAAGAGCGTTCATCTCTACAAATTTTTCTTTCAGAACACTTACTGTACGACTGAAGATCTATCAACCCCATTCGCAAATGAACTGGTGCCTGTGAAGCTTCAAAATTGAATGGATTCTTGAAAATTGGGAATTCCATTTCATTCATTTTATGGAAGTCTTCAAAACGAATATTGAATTCCGTGATCAGATTTTGCCGTTGAGAATATTGACGTATTTCTGTGAGAAGAGCGGGTTCTGATCCTGTTTCGGGAGCATTAAGACGATCGCATGCTTCCACCTGATGGGGAAGTATCTGAGGACCAACGAACTGTTGCTAGCTGCTCAATTATGTTGATACATTAAATACAGACATCGCCCTCTGGTGGTCTGGGTAAGTAATACACATTTTAGGCGGCACGAAAATGCCACGTCTGAGCTTCTTTGGGCTTTGTATTCTTTGACCTAACACTCTCTCACTTGTCTAGGCACGCGCTTCTTTCTGTAACACATTGCGACATTGACATTGTGACATGTGACATTGCGATCGCGGGCCGTAGTAATACGACCCGAGGGCGCTCCGCCGACTAGGGGAGGCAGTGCAGACTTGCAGAGCATCCCTCACGATAGTAATGAGAGCTGGTCAATTGAGATTCAGATTTTCAGTCAGCTACAACTAATTATGACACCTCCTGCCTCAAGCTTATGTGCCACTTATCCTGAGATTAAAATTAATGCCAATCTCATTCGCTGACGATCGGATTTGTGACAGAAATTCCCGGAAAAAGTGCATGCCTAATAGACGAGCCGGCTCTAACTACTACGCCATAGAAGCGACTATAGAAACGGGCGGAAAGTACAGAAACAAATAGTATGTGACAGTAAAACTAGCTAAAAGCACTCCACTAGTAAATATTTTTTAATTGTAATTACCTGTTGCCTGGCCTCTATTGCATGTCTGCTTCTTCTAAGAAATAATAAACTGAACGTTTCACAGCCTCGCCTCCTCTCCGGTGCAACTCCACTGAAATTATGTTATCTTTCCATAGGAGGCTATAATCATCCATATTCAAAGTCATGGAACGACTCCTAGTTCTTCTTTTATTTGGATCCTTCTGCAATTCTCTTCGTTTAGCATTACGAGCATCTCTAACAGACTTGTAAGCAATGTCTTTAAATGGGTCAAACATTGTTTGATGATAATTTGAGTACATTTCTTGTATTTTCGTTGAGCTATCTTCCAAAGAGTCTTGATAACACTTTCGTTGTAATCACCGTTCTGTTTCTTCATGTTACACGCACAATCTTTTAGTATCAAAGCCGTATTCTTCATAGATATATTAACTGTCATTTCATTACTCTTCCTCTTGCAAAATATAATGGATTGTTGCCAGATTGACTTATGGATTTTCATTATATTAACAGGAATACCATTTAAATTGTTTCATCTACTTTTTGTACGGAAACACCGCCAAATAGCTTGCTTTCACTCATTCCTTTTTCAAAATTAATTCTTGCTAACTCGAAAATATTGTGTTGACAGCTCACGTCATAAGCAATGCTCGCTAGATAACATGTCTTTTACAGAATTGAGTTCATTTCAACCGGTTAAACAGGTTCAGTACAAATAATCGCTGTAGGACTCTTTAAAAAACTGCATAGCTTTCAACTTTTTCATCGTTTTTATGGACGTGGATAACTGAACAATATGCATTACGAATAGTATAAGCACGAGAAACCAAGCAACGTTTTTCTGTGGGCTGACGGAGTACTTTATGAAGATGCAAAAACAGTGCAGATCGATCAGCAATGCCTGTGCGAAAGGAAAAACCTACCTATTAAGTGTAGAATGTATTCACTTGAAAACCAAGTATTAAGAAGTTCATTCTATTTCGAATGAGGTTCTCTTAACTGAATAACTCTTGAAGAGAGTTGTGCGAGGCAGTGGCGCCGTAAGGCGTGGGCAGTGGCGGCGTAGGCGGTGGCTCACCGCCCGCGGCATCGCGCCTCAAAGCTGAAAAAAAGTATGGAAAACACGCATGATTTTTTTTATAAATAATACTCAACATATACGAAAGCATATGAATGAAAAATTCGTGTATCATAAAATAAATTGACCAAAAAATTCTACTCATACCAAAAAGTGCATATTTGAAAAAACGCTGGCATCCGTGTATTACATTTGAGAGGAACTACTTTAAAGGAAACAAAATAGAAATTGATAAATAAATGAATATTTTTCGAGAAAAATGAAAATTCAACTTATTCAGAGTAGTATACGACTCTCGTTGCAATCTAGCGGACTAAGTCGAACTAAGCGGACTAAGTCGAACACATTCTCATATACCAGGGATTAAGGACTTGGAAATAACAAACACAACATTAGAACAATAATATTCTAGAATCCTAAATAGACGAAAGTCTATTTAGTTTTTTGTACTGCATTGACTTTTCTATTGAATTTTGGGTGTTTTTGTGAAAATGATTTAGTCTTGTTATTATTAATAATTAAATAACGCCGTTGTTTATTATTCAAAATTTTGTTTCAACTGCATAAACTCTCTGACCTCTACTTATCTCATTGTTACAGTGACGGCTCGTGCATTGGAGTACAAGGGAGGCTTAAGTCATATAGACTATATACATACAGAAAAGCCCGCCGGANCATAATCATTTATCAATATGTTTTAATTTATTGCGATGAATAGCCTCAAATTTCATAGGGAGGCTAAGCCTCCTTTGCCTCCTGTGACAAGCCGCCGCTGCATTGTTATTTTCGTGAATGGTTCAGGTCAAAGTAATAAGACACGATAAAATCTAAATATAACTATAAATTTGAATTTCGAACGCGATTAACTTCGTTTTTAGATAGTACATTCAAAACACTAATATGTTCCAAATGAAGTTAATTATTATAACTTTCTTGCTGATGTGCCTTTTTTATGAGGGAACGGCATTTTCAAAATCTGGTAAGTATACATTTTTTAGCACTTTTTAGCACTTTCAGCCATATGCTTGAATTGAAAGGATAGTTTTTAAAATAACATTCGCTCGTCAATTGTATTTCCCATTTTTGATAGCATGTATGATATTCCTGAAATCGGCTTCTTTGACAGTCAGTGTTACCATCTTCATTAGGGTTTGAAGACCGTCGTAGTTTGGAACTGCATCTAACGTTTCGACAGCACGAGTGGCTGGCTTCTTCAGAGGTTTATTCATCTTGACGATTCACCGAGTTGTGATTAGTAGGTATAGCTCGTTGTTAGATAATAATACATCCCTATACATTTTACATATTATCATATAACATATCATTTCAAGTGCTTGTGTATTCATCTATATTTCTCATAAGTCATCCTTGAAATGAGGCACCAGGCTTGTTAAGGTGAAATAAATAAATGAATGAATTATAAAATATCACGAAATAAAACTGTTGCAGCGCCATGAAATTATAAAACAACTTTGCCGGTTGTGTGGTGTGTTTATTAAATGTATTGTATTGTGTGCAGCAACAAATTGATTTCTGACAGGCAATATGGGTTTATGGACGAAAGGCAAGATGTCATATCAGACCTTACAGAAAAAATGTACCTATTGTAACGGGCTTTCCTGGGTTTGAAACTAGCAAATAATGACGCTGACGCGGGATACTTGTGCATCATTCCCACGGGCGCCAGATTCTTTTTGGTATGTCCCAGTACCCGCATAACAATCAGTGAAACTATCTAGTAGTCAGGATTTTGTGACAACAGGCGGAGTACTAATAGATGTAAGATTATATCAATTCAAATCTGAATCCCGATTCGCGGATCGGTCCCTCCTGAACCAGGTTGGCCTGTAAATAACCGCCACCCTTAGTCCATTGGCGGCCATACTGTGAAACCCAATATGCTCTTGAGAACTTATTTTTATTGATATTTTTTCTGAAGGGAAGTTTTCGTCATCTCTCTGGGTTTTTGCCCCTTCCACAAATGTTCTTTTTGAGGATTGTTTCCTACTTGTTTGGTGGCCTATCAGTTTAAGTTTCCGTAGCAGTTTCTCACGCTTACATCAGTTTCCGCTTCTGCGCATCTGACATTCACTTGTGTTACAATCCGCCCGTCATCAATGCTGTAATTTCGGTTTCGGATGAACTGTAACAGAATCAAACTCGCCGTTTGATTCTGCTTTCCTGGTGCACTTGCGTGGACATACTTTGCAACGAGTCGCTTGAAGGTGTTCCTCATTTTTGCTTTCATTTCTTATTTCTCGTTCTATATAAGGCTCTCAAGAGTTTGGGGAAAATGGTATTCCACTCTCATTATGCACCATGCCTGGATGTAAGGCTGGATATTCTGAATACCCTGCTAGCCTAGGGCTGCGTTAACGATATCTGATAAGGCCCAGGTATGAGCCCAGGTATAGGCCTTATCAAATATCCTTAACTTCCGGTAACTTCCATACCTAATCAGCAGCTTCAATAGTATAAGGTGTTGAGGTTGAAGACAACAAACATTCTCGTTAGGATTTTCACAGACCACAGAGGTACGAACAGTTTCCTACTTTCTATTCACGCAAGATCACCGGACACGGATGCTTCATCCCATAATTCGAAACTTATGTTCAATGTATATTCCAGTCCTACATTTTTAATTTGCAATTTGAATATCTACCGTATCTAAAAAGCCTTATTATTCCAGACTGCGGGCTGCCTATAGAGCAATTTCCACCAATGGGACAATCGTGTAGGGCCAATATGCAAGTTTATACCTGGAGTAACTCCCAGAACAAATGTGTACTGGGTTATTATGGAGGATGTTCCGGAACCAACAACTTGTTTCATCTAAAGGAAGACTGTGAAAAAATTGCAAAACCTATTTGTCAACAGTGAACGTAGGATCCGATCTCGAATGTATTTACTGTAATATGTTATCGAAATTTGTTGAATAAAATTACATTTCCAGAAAGGTGTTGAAATGTTTTTGTATTTATCAAGAATACCACTGAACGAGTAGTAGAAAACCAAAACCTTTCATTTCCTATTCATTATTATTATGAATATTACCGGAGTTTTTTCCCAACACCAAATCGTTATTTTTACACCTCGACACGTGTTTCGATCACCAAGTGATCATCTTCAAGAACAGTTTTATTTTCCTCTTGAAGATGATCACTTGGTGATCGAAACACGTGTCGAGGTGTAAAAATAACGATCTGGTGTTGGGAAAAAACTCCGGTAATATTCATTACTACACCAAAGGTTCCAAACAGTATATCACAAGTATTATTATTATGAATGATTACATTTGCTCAACAAACTCAGTGAAGGCCTGGCAAAGCTCAGCAGGTATCTTTTGAGGAAAAAAAATGACGGAACATTGCTTCCATTAATTGAACTCAGTCATATGCAGAATTTTTTGATTGGGTACTTGTGGAGGCACATCACTCTATTGACATAAATCTCTGTCCAAAATAATTTTGTTCATTCATGGTATCCTTTGACGGCGCTTTTCTTGACACAACTACCTAACCTATTATTGGTATACCAGAGAGTCATTAATATATCAGCAAGAAAACTTAACAATTGCATTGAAATTGCCAGATAGAAGAAAACAGGAAGAGTTTTTTGCTGCACTCATTCTTATTATCTTGTTCCATGTGTCTACCGATATTAGGTATTTGTCATATTATTATTCACTTATTTTGGTTGTCCACCTCCTTGGATCCAGAGTTCCTTTGCTGCATTTTCTTTAGTTATGGCCTCCATTATTCAAGCGTATTTTGATCAGGTGCCCTTGAAGCCCTGTTATTATTATGTGCTGAACTCTGGCTGATGAAGAATTCCTGTGCTTTTTTCTCAAACGGTCTTTTTGAAGGTTTTCAAATTTGTATTCCCAGGTTATGTTTTCTCAACATTTTTTGTTTCTTGAGACCACACTTCCTTGTCTCCCTTCTGATAGGTCCTAGCTTGGTCCAACTCAATATGATGCTTCTGCGTGAGTTCTCTTTCTATAAAATTGTATTTGTCTTGAAGGGAACTATTAGTCAGTGACAGAATAATAATGAGCCTGTCAAGTAGTTTTCATGATGTTTTCAATACTAATGAAACAAAAAGTTGGTCTCAGATCCTTTATCAAATTCTGTTCATTTTCCTAAGTTGCCAAGTATCACTAACAAATCTAATCTAATAAATTTGGGAAAGTATCCTAGCATTGAATACTCTTAGGTCTAGACACAGTTTCTGAAGTAAAAGTTCCAAACCCTTTTGTAAGGTTGAAATGAGTTTATAACCCATTTAACTTTTTCCAAATCTACCTCTTTGATATCCACTTATCTTGGACGCTCTTTGAGGGGGGTTCGGTTTTAAATTTTTCAGAAGGGTATCTGCAGAATTCTATATTCTCAGATGGAAAGTCATAAGTTTGTTCATTTGCGTTTTGAAAACCAAGATTACCAGTTAGATATACCTTATCACCTCAGTCAATGTAGTACTAGCATTCATTAGATTTTTTTTCAATTGAATTGTCTTAAAACCTTCATGGTTAGAATTCGTTCTACAGAGTTACAACCAATATAAATATGTCCTCTTTTCAATTCCAGACTGCGGGTTGCCTGTAGAAGTACCAGGACCACATGGTGAATCATGTTTGGCCAGTATTCCAGTATTTACCTGGAGTAATTCCCAAAACAAATGTGTTCAGGATCACTTTGGAGGATGCCACGAAACCAACAACATGTTCCGTGAAAAGGAAGACTGTGAAAAAATTGCCAAACCGATTTGTCAACAGTAAACATAAGAACAAATATTGGGTGTATTCAATGTAGAATGCCTCCAAAATTTATGAATAAAATTGCAATTAAAAAAAGGGTGATTAAATATCTTTGAATTTATTATAAGTGCCACTGAAATAAATGCATATCTGATTTCCTGAACGGGTCAAGTCAAAAAAATGATATTTGGGATAATGAAATTAATGCATGATTACATTATTTTCAAGTGACATTGACAGATGAAACTTTCAAGATGGCGACTGGGTGCCGCCCTGGGAAAAAAATTAAATGGAAAGGAGGTCTTGTGACACATCATTTTGAAGCTTCTGACGAATACTTCACAACCCTAGAATATGAAGTCAATATCTTCACCTACTACAAAATGGCGGAACATTCAATAATTCCCTGAAGACAAATACATTAATATCGATATTTCTAGAAATATTCCTTTTTATCTGTCATATGGCAATTCCAACAACATGATAAAGTTAGTTAAGTTTTTTTTTTCTAAAAACGACAAAAAATGACAGTGCGGCAATGAACATCATTGTTCACTTAGAATATTCTCATTTAGTTTTCTGTTTTACTAGTAGAAAGGTACCACGTCAACAATCTCTAAAATGGTCAATTCTTGTCCATTGGAAGCAATTTTTATTTACGGAGCGACGCGTAACTTTCACAAGACCGAAAGGATTTTCAATGAACGTTTTCCGAATCGTCCTATCTGTAGAAACTATTTGGGGGAACTTGTATCCAAATTCACAACTACCGGTAGTGTACACAACAGAAAGCCCCCAGGTCATCCGTCCATTCCGAAAGAACAGCAAGTGCAAATAATTGGTGAGATGGTAGTAAATCCTGAACAGTCTACTTATTCCGTCGCGAATGTTTGTGAGGTGTCTTCTTCTAATGTGTGGAGACTTTTGACAAAGAATAGATATACAAAATTAAAATGGTACACCAATTAACTGAAGATGACCCTGATCGAAGAACAGAATTCTGCTTAATGATGACGGAAACCATTGCAAGGCATCCTACCTATCTCCACAATATTTGTTTTAGTGACGAATGTACNCAAAATGGTTCAAAATAACGTTCGTAGCCCGGGAATCATATATTTTAGTAAATTGTTGTATATGATACACATTATAATAGAATATGATGTTTCCAATAACACAGATTATTTTGTAACTTTGTGTTTCTACTGTATTGACAATTTATAATCAGTTTTATGTGGTATTCGTGAAAATAAATCATTATTCTCATTATTATTATAATGCACAATTACATAACTCCAATTGATTATAACGTCTCTATATGTAATTATTTCAAAATTTTCTAATAATTATATCTCGGAGACCTCTACTCATCTTATCATCTTTTTTTGGGAATGGTTCAAAATAACAAGATAACATTTAAATATATAAATTTGAATTCCAAACCAGAAATTTGTTATTCGATAGTGCATTTAACAGCATCACCAAAATGTTCCAAATGAGATTAATTGTGTTAGTTTTCTCGTTGATCTGTGTTTTTCATGAGGGCACAGCATTTTCAAAATCTGGTAAGTATACATTTTTAGCACATTGACAAAAAATATATTTAGGCATATGCATGAATTTTGAAATGTTATTGTGCACAATTTCATACCCAACACAAACTTGGAGGCCACATTGACCTTTTTCCAAATTTATTTTGTAGAAAATTTACCTTCATCGTTTTTTTTAGGTAATTTTCTTGACACAACTACCCAACTTATTACTTGTATACCAGAGAGACAGCAAGGAAACTCAAAAAATGCATTGAAATTGCCAGATAAAAAAAGAATAGTTTTTTGCTGCTCCTGGGTCCCCTGACTTGTCCATTACTTCTTACTTTTCTCATGGGCTCAATTTTCCTTCGTTCCTTTTGTTACATTTTCATACTTATGGTTTTCTTTATTCAGGTCTACTTTGATCAGGAGTCCTCGAAGTCTTGTAATTATTATGTACTGGATATAATTGTAATTGCTTCGAAGTGGACTGCAACAGAATCCTAACATTCATGTCGAGTAGTTTTTATGTTTTCAATGCCAATGAAAAAGGCTTCATCAAATTATGTTCATTTTCACGAGTTACCAAGTGGCACTAATAAATCTCAATTTTTTAGCAATGTTTCCCAGCATCGAATAGGATTAGAACTAGACACAGTTTCTGAAGTAATAATCAACATTGAATGGTTGAAATAATGAGTTTTCAGCCTATTCAACATTTTCCAAATGTACCACTTTCATATCCACCTGCTTCTCGTCCTTGGACACTGTTTGGGGGATCCAGTTCTAAGTTTTCCAGAAGGGTATCTGAATTCTACTGCAGAATTCTAAAGGAAAATTAAACTGTTTAATCTTCCTCTTGAAAATGATCACTGGGTGATCAAAACACGTGTCGAAATGGTAAAAATAACGGTTTGGTTTTGAGATAAAACTCCAGTAATATTCCTTATTGCACCAAACGTTCCAAACTGTGCATCACAAATACAATATGAATATGTTCAACTTCTGATTCCAGACTGCGAGTTGCCTGTACAAATACCAGGACCAGACGGAGACATATGTCTGGCCGAAATTCCAGTTTTTACCTGGAGTAATTTGGAAAAAAAATGTGTACCGGATTCCTTTGGAGGATGTCACGAAACCAACAACATGTTCCGTACAGAGGAAGACTGTGAAAAAATTGCCAAACCCATTTGTCTGCAATAAACACATGAACAAATATTGAATGTATTTATTGTAGAGAATATCACCAAAAGTTGTGAATAAAGAGGTTATGAAACGTCATTGCATTTATCGATTGTACCACTGAAAGCATACAATTTAGAGAGAAATATCCTGTGAATTTTCATTTTTGCTCTTTTCATTTTATACTGTTTGCAAGACGATCTGAACCCGAAGAAATTTTTTTGCCAATTTTGAGTTGTAGATTGTAACATACCAATTATTTAAAAGTTCGGGATACTCCTGAGCAATCTACAGTAGTACTACATAGAACCCAAAGGTACAAGTCGAGACGACGGAAAAAGGCCGGATAATATGACACTTGTTCCATGAAAAAAAGGGCAAATCTGTTGTTTGGGACTTTACTTGTGTGGATATATTAGCAACTTGCTAGGAGGAAATTCCACACTACGGAAATATCCTAATTTGGGAAGTAATTATATCTTTCGCCAAATAGCTGTTGAAACTTTTGGTGTTTTTGGCTCTGAAGCATTATCTTTCATCAATGAAATTGGAAAAAAGGTAACCAATGCAACCCATGAATCAAGAGACGCATCTTTTCTCATTCAAAAAATTAGTGTAGCCATCCACAGAGGAAATGCGGCTTCGTTTTTTGGTACTCTTTTACAGAAA